CACCACACACACATACTTCTGCACCCTCAGCATGGCTTCTCCTACTGTCGGAAGGACCAGCAGGATGCTGGTACAGAGGCGCCCGGGCCACACGCCGGGGACTGCAAGAAACAGATGGAGTGGACTTGCTGCTGTCTGTAGTGGTCAGGAGGGGGCTGAGATGCTGGGGTCCTTCCTCCTCACTCTGCTGCATTGTGGGGCACAGCCCTACTCCCAGGCCCAGACGGAGAGTTGACACTTCCTTTCTGGAGAGAAACGCCAGATTGGGCCAGGCCCAGTGCAGGCGGGAGAGTCCCAGCTTCCCGGTTCTGCCCCGCCTCCAGTCACCAGCTTTGCTCTGTCCTTCTGGATTTCCTGTTGGGAGCATTTCTGAGAAACAGGAGCGTTCTGTATGTGACCTTCTCTGTGGGCTCCTGCCTTTGAGAATGATGATTTCAGGGTTCGGTCACTCAGGCAGGGACAGATGCTTCTTTCCTTCTGTGACTGCAGCTCTATCCCTGGATGTGGAGATAGTGATGTGATCACGAAGCAGCCAGCCAGGGACACGGCTGCTGCCTCTGCCTCTGGAAAGCCCCTGGCGACATTGCCATGCACTGGGGCGTCTGTTGAGCACGAGTTTTTAACTCTTTATGGCAGAAAACTAGGAGGAGAGCTATGGGATCAAATACTAATCTTGTCAATAATGGAGAAATAGTACGGCAGGTAGGGCATTTGCCTTGCACATGTGCCTTGCACGTTGCCAACCAGAATTTGATCCCCTGCTTCCACTATGGACCCCTGAGCACTGCCTGGAGTGTAATGTGCAAAGCAAATGCCCTACCTGCAGAGTGCAGAGGCAGGAGTGACCCCTGAGCACTGCTGGGTGTGGCCCCCCTGTGAAGTCAGTTTCTTGAGGAACATGCCAAACCATGCATATCTTTCCTGAAGAGCAGCTTTACTCTGGGATCTTCTTGTATGAGGGGCATGGAAAGTGGGTCGGGGGGAGTGCTGGGCTGAGACTGGGGACCCGACTTCCTGCTGAAGCTCTGCAGGACGGTCAGGGGCGATCTTACACCTGCCCTATGCTCTTCCTGGGCTCTGGCCGCCTTCTCTGAATATCCAGGGGACCGCATAAAACAACTCTTTAAGTTCCCTACAACCCTTAAATTTTTATGAGGGGAATCAGGTTTCAGAGATAAAGGAGAGAGAATTGACAGCAAAATGGGATTGTTTCTGTTATCTCTCCACTTTGTGTGTGTGTGTGTTTTAATGCTCATTAAGACACCCCAAAATAATTGGACTTTTCTCGTGCCGGAGTGTGTCTGGGTAATGAACAGCATCTGCCTTTCTGTTTTTGTCAGGGTCTCTAGAATTAGCTGGCCTCCTCCTTCCCATCACTTCCTGACACCTCCTGGACAGAAAAACTTGATGGTGGCCACAGGCCCAGGACAGGGTCCTCCTCCAGTCCTCTAGGAACAAATGCTGAGCTGCCCCTCATTCCCCTTCCCTCTGCACTGATGCCCGTGAGGCAGGCGACCCCGACTGGGGAGGCTCGGAGAAGTTGGGCTACTCTGATTCAGTGAGGAGGAGGAACCGCAGTCCTCCCTGAGGGCTTCCAACTGGTGCCCCTCCTCAAGGGATCTTCGCCTACCTTCAGCTGCTCCCACTGGGGCGTACTTTTCTGCCCCCTTGTGGGCAGCCTGGGCCCGTCTGTAGCCTGGGCCTAAAGCTGGCGCTCTTCTGCGCCACCTAGTGGCTCTCTAGGAAATGCAAGGCTTGCAAACGCGATCTGGGTTTCCTTTCCGTGTTTCATCACCCAGTCAGAACACCCACTTTAAGCCCCACTCTAGCGCTAGGACCACACAGTGTTAGGTCCCTCCCATCCTACAGAGTTTTTTCCCCAGGGGACACAGAGAGCGGATTTCAGAGTGACGACACGGCATAAAGAAATAGCTCGGGGCTCATGGGTGTTCAGAACATGGGTGTGGAAAGTCCTTTGGAAGAAGTCAGAGAGTTCCAAGATGTGTGAATCTGCAGGACGTGCGGTATGCCTGAGAACCAGGCGGCCCCAGGTGGGGAGGTGATGATGAGCACCAGGCTTCGAGAGACTGTGTGAGGCAGGTTCTGTGCACCTCAGGGACCTTAGCGTGGACCCAGGCGGGTACCCTGACATCTGTGTACTTTGGAAATCACAGCTCTGGCAGAGAACGAGCCCGAGGAAAGCATATGGTGGGAAACAGTTAGGAAGTGACTTCAGTCACAGGTAGGAGAGGACAGTGGCCCAAATCAAGTGGATGCAGTATGCAGGGAGGCAGTGGACAGAGTCGAGAGAGACCTGTGGGTCCAAGAAAGAAATTGCTTAAGTGACTCAGAATCTGTCAGGCTGGTGGGGAACCGTCTGCTCCCGGCGGCAGGATCAGCGTCCATTCTGTGTGGTGAAGCCGGCCTGTGTCCATTCACTTGGGCAGTCTGTCCATCTGGGAAGCCCGAGGCACTCAGGAACACCCTCCTGCTGACCTCTCACCTGGCCTCACGCTGGGTTCAGACTTTTGACTCTCCAGAAATCCTGATATTCTGTATCTGAGCTCAACCAAAACAAGAAGGAAAAGGTTTGCCCCCTTAGGGTCAACCTCTTGGCTGGCATCTGTCGCCCTCTGGTAGGATCTGGAATGAGTCCTTGTCCTGGAGGAGGAAGGCAGGGGGCTCACGCTGCCTGCCCCAGGGGGCACCCATCCTGTGCTGTCATTTTGACACTGCCCTTACCTTTAAAGGACTGTATCAGGGACTGCCCCATCTCCCACATCTCACCCTCACAGATTGTCTGCTGAAATCATTCATTTCAAAGAGTCCTATGGGACTCAGCAGTGAATCCCGGAAGACAGCAGCTCACCACAGATTCCTCTTGACCCCCTGCAGAGGCGATTTCACCAGGGCAGCTCAGATAGAGTGGGTGTCCTCTCTCTGTCCGCTCCAGACGAACCCCTGGTGACCAAAAACTTCCAGAAGATAAACCCAAGTATCCGGGACCAGGGACTGAAGACTCCAGGCCACGTGGCGGTGGTGGGGGTGGGCTGTCCCTTCCCATCTACCCATCCCTTCAGGGTCTTGGCTGTCGCACCCATGAAATGCCTCCAGGTGCCATTTCAGCACCTCACCAGCCTTGATTTAGAGACTCACAAATGAATCTCATAATGTTGTAACTCCCTACAGAGATGTCTTTGGACCCCAATCGCTTACAATTTTAGAATTCCAGGAGCACACAGCCGCAAAAGCAGACACATGACCTCTCATGATAGTCATAATAAGCATTTGAAAATTAATTGTCTAGCATCTGCCTGTGGCAGGTAGGCTTGAATGGAGGTGGGAACATTTGAAATAATGGTGGTGGGATTGGTGTTGAAATATTGAATGTAGTCAATGTGAACAACCTTACAAAAATAAAAGTTAAAAAATTTTTTAAAAAGAATATTAGGAGCTAGTATTCAGAAGGGAGTGATTTATGTTGCTACTCTATATGCCTCCTCATGCAAACAACCAGCGAGGTCACCTTTACTTACAATGGCCTGAAGGTAGTTTCAGGAGAAAAAAATGACAAATTCAGAGGTGACTGGAAAGTAAACTAATTTATCCCCGCCCTTCAAATCCCTGCAGAGACAGGGAAAGATGAAAAATCGCTCTTTACATAGGTGGGAAGTTAAGAATTCATTTGAGGACAACCTGCCTTGTTGATATCCTGGTTTTGGGGGGGGTTGTTGTTGGTAATTAGAAAGTGAAATGGATTTTGTTATATTGACCATATATCCAGGAATCTTGCTAAGATGATTTATTAATTTCAAAGGTGTCGTGGCTAGAGAGATAGTACAGTGGAGAGGGCATTTGCCTTGCCCATGGCCAAGCTGGGTTTGATGCCCAGCATCCCATATGGTCCCCCAAGCACCTCCAGGAGTGATCCCCGAGTGCAGAGCCACTGGGTGTGGCCCAAAAATAAAAATAAAATTAAAAAATAAGTTTAAAAAGAGCCGTATGGGCAACTGCTTGCACCTTTCTAACTACCCCACCTCGCGCCCACCTTCATCTTTCCCTCCTTGGACCAGAGGCCGGCTCAGCCGCACACACCTGCCTCCCTGCCTGCCCCAGGCCCTGCACGGGATGCGGAGATGCAGAGAGGTTGTGACCGGGGCTTCTTGCTGGCATATGAGTTCTCAGAGCTGGGCCCCAGGCCTTGTGACAATCCTGTGTAGGATCACGCTTCCTGCAAGCCAGAGTACTCAAGTAGGGGATGGTTGAGCAGGAGACCCTCCAAGAGACAGCAGCAATGTCGAGAGACATTGGGGTCATGTCGCTGAATGTGGGGTGGAGTGATGAAACATTTGACTTTTCAAGGTTTCTGAACACGAACCCAAACTTCGAGCAAAATCCATCGAATCTTGAATCCGGGTGTTTCTGGCAGGCTCGCTTGAGTTGTGTTTCTTGGGTAGAAGGGTCAGGAGTAGAGAAAGGACAAGGAACCCTGATTAGAGCAGGGCGGGATCAAGTGATGCTGCTAAACCCACCTTTGTGCCCCGCAGTTCCCACTGCTAACGCCAGATGTCTGTCACGCAAGGTGACAGTGAGAAGCCTCATCCTAGGGCTGGAGCGGTAGTACAATGGGAGGGTACTTGCTCTGAGCCCCACCGGGGGTGGCACCTGAGTGCAGAGCCAGGAGTAACCCCTGAGCATTGCCAAGTGTGGCCCCCAAACAAAACAAAAATCCTGTTCAGAGCAATAGTACTGTGTGTAGGGTGCTTGCTCTGCACACGGCCTATCTGGATTCCATTCCTCGCACCGTTACGGTTCCCTGAGCCCTTCCAGGAATGACCCCTGAGCACAGAGCTAGGAATAAGCCCCAACACTGTAGGATGTGGCTCCCCAAACAGACAAAATGTCTTATCCTAGAACATCTGTGTGTGGCTTGAAGGCCCTCAGAGCTGAGGCATCGCTGAAGCCACAGAAAACTTCACCTGCTGTGTTTCTCTTCACAGCTGACCTCTGTCAGGAAGGCCGAGGAGCTGGAGCGGCTGGAGGTGGCCAGACCCCGTGGGCCAGGGAGCAGGGAGCCGGAGCAGGCGCCCAGGATGGCCTGGCAGCCCCCGCCACCCTGGCTCTGCGCCGCCGGCCTCCTCTGCCTCCTCAGCCTGGGCGCGGCCATCGAGATTCCCATGGACCGTGAGTGCTGCTTCTGCCTCTTCATTCTGCTTGGGGCCGAGGAGGTTGGGACCGTTGAAACCCTTTCAGGGAAAGGAGCAAAGGATGGGATCATGTGCTTCACACGAGGGGTGCCTGGGTTCCACCCCTGGCATCACGTGGTTCCCCAGCACCTCTGGGTCTGCTCCCCCCGCAAAGAAAAACATTCGTGGACGTTGTGGGCGGGGGTGAGGACTGTGGATTTGGGACTTAGAGCCCGTTTCCTGTTGGAGGGCTGGTGATGGAAGGACTCTGGCGGGGTTGGGGGGGTGGCGCAGATGTAGGACGATGGAAGGCTGGCACTCTCAGGCTTTCAGGAGGCGTGGGGGTCCCCCAACATCCGCCCATCGGTAAGCTGCAGCTCTTCCTTACCTTCCTCGTGTCTGTGTGTCCAGAGATCCTTCACGCCTTCTTAGCAATAGAGCTTGGGAAGGGGGTTCCCTCCCCGAAGCGGGTGACTCGGTGAGACAGTAAAGCAGCATGTGTGCCGGTACCCCCATGGGAGTGCCCAGCACTGAGCGCCCCGGGCCCTGCCCATGACCACACCACTTTCCTCTCCCTCACCCCACCAACCACTGAAGAGAAAGCCCGATCCTATGTTTCCCTGGTGGGATACTTTTGGTCCTCAGAATCCTAACAGGATTTGGGTCACTGGCAGACAGTTCGGTCCCCCGTGGCCTGCTCAGTGGTGGTCCAGGGAGCCACAGCTGCGCCCTGTGCCCTGCAGTTAAAGCGTGTCTTACCTTTGCCTCAGTTTTGACCCTTATTCCAGGACATCTTGGCAGCACAGGGTGAGAGTGAGGTCCCACTTTGGTCCCCTGTACCCTGCTTCCATGAAGGGAGGAGACCCACTCGCTGCCCTTGACTGGACTGTGTCCAGGTGTTAGCTGTTGGGGAGGACTGGGAAAGTGAGTCAGGAAGTGTCCCCCCCACCCCCCACATCTCCAGGGCTAGGATTGGGGGGTATTCTAGCTGAGCTGGAAGCATAGGAGCGGGAATCTCAGTTCCTCTCCGCTCTTCACCCGGAGGGCTGGGCACTCTCACTCAAGCGTGAGTGAAGGCCAGCAGGGTGGACGTTGCCCTGCCAGCAGCCCAGGCGTGAGCACATGTGTCCACTGGGGGAGGGGAGGGGAGGCCCGTTCCCATGGAGACCATCTGCTCTGGCTCTCGGAGACTTTCTCATTAACAGTCCCAGGCCAACCATCTAATCAGGAGCAGATAAGGCCGCGTCCCTGGAGGGGTGGGAGCATGTGCAGGAAACTGGGCCAGGAGAGCGCGGGGAAGGCTCATTTCTCTCCTGCGGCTTCTCTCCACCTGCCACCTCGTTCCTGGGGCCCGTGGCTCAGGTGTCCCGTGGGGTGGGCCCAGGAAGAGATGCTGTGGGTGTGTGGGTCTGTGGCAGGCAGGAGTCTCCAGGCACATCTCCTCCAAGTACTGCCCCTGGGCAGTGATCTCTGATGGCCCAGCTCTGTGTCCGTGAGGGCACCTGGAGCACCCCTTCCAGATGCTGAGAAAACTCAGGTCCTCACTTGTCAGCTTCCCAAGCAAAGCAGTGAGACTCACACAGAAAACTCAGGTCACTTGACCCTGGGGTCCCCAACCTGTCTGACTGGACCATCCCCACCTCACAGACTCCTGCCTCCTTTGAGTTCCTGGAACTGACCAGAACAGCCCTGTCAGGTGCCTGCCTAAGAGCCACGCTATGTGGGAGGCCTTCCTTGACCTGAAAGCTGTTCCACCAAGCTTCCCTGACACCCGGCTGGCAAGTTAGAACACTGAGGAGCAGAAAAATGAGGCGATTCCTCCGGCTTGTCAGTGCAGGGCTGGCGCAGATGTTGCAGGAGACAGTCCTCCACACCCCATCTGCGTCAGGGCAGGGAACTCCTGCCACCTGGTGGCTGCCCGCCTGGGGCCTGGGCCACGTGCCCAGGAGGAGTCTACAGGCGCTGAGCCTGGGCAGAGCAAGGAGGCTCCTCAAGGAAGGCCTCTGCTTCTCTTGCCCCCTGGTCCCCACACCATGGTCTCCCAGCGAGCCCCAACTCAGGATGCTCTGGGCTGCAAAGGGGTCAGATCCCTCTGGTCCCCTGCAGGATCGAGAAGCCCTGGCAGGATATCTCCTACTGACATCAACATAAAGCATCACCTGACCTGGAATAAGCAACTGGACCGCTTGACTTTGCAAGATGGTTCCTGTGAAAGGCTCATGTGCCCCCTGTGCCCTCATGCACTCAAGAGGCGGGCGTCCACAGGAGATCCCCAGAATGTGGAGCTCACACCACTGCCAGTTGGCACCTCCCCCACACACCCGCGCCAGCCCCATCCTCCCCTCTTGCTCCTTGAACTGGTTGAACTGGAATTGGTTTTTCTTTTTTGGGTCATACCTGGAGATACTCAGGGGTTACTCCTGACTCGCACTCAGGCATCACTCCTGGCAGTGCCTAGGGACCATATGGGATGGAGGGGATCGAACCCGGGTCTGCCTTGTGCAAAGTAAACCCACAGTACTGTTGCTCAGGCGCCCGCTCTCGCTCCTTGAGAGTTTCACTTCCACCCTACATATTTGAGAGAGCGCTCGGGGCTTGTCTGAGTTCAGCAAAGGCAGGGCGTCATCTGCAGCCTATGTTCCCCACGGCAACCTCAGGGTCCAGACACAGCACAAGCCAAATTCTTCTTACATTGGGCCTCCTAGGTGTGCTCTAGTTTTTGTTTCGCTTCGGGACCACACTTGAAAGTGCTTAGGGCTGACTCCTGGCTCTGCACTCAGGAATCACTCCTGGTGGACTGGAGAAACCATGAGAGTAAGGACCAGACCCAGGACTGCTTGCAAAGCAGGTGCCCACCCTGCTGTCCTATCTCCCTGGCTCCAGGCTCATGTGTGAGCGTTCTTGAGAGCTGCTTCCTGGAGCTTAGGCCTGAAGCTACCCTGCCTGCTGGCCCCTCAACACTTGCTTGCCTCTTAGGGGAGCCCTGCCTGTGCCTGGAAACAGGGCCCCTAGGCCACCCCAGAAAGCTGGTGTAATAGGCTCCCCAGCAGAGCCCTGAGCAGCTGCACAGGCCCCTTTTGGACTGCAGCCCCTGGCTGTTTCGGTGACACCAACAGTCACACACACTGTTCCCAGAGGGAGCAGCCTTGGAGCCCCAACAAGGCCGACTGGAGAGGGCTTGCTAAAAGTGAGCCTCCTCCCCTCTGCATGGGCCCTGCAGAGGAGAGCAGTGGCTGGCAGAAATAGTACCCCCACCTGTATCCCAGGACAGCCTGGACAACCCCTGTTTCTCCAAGCTGAGGGTGTCTGAGCCAGACCAAGAGAGAAGGCATCGGCATGGAGCAGCCCACACAGCCTCAGCCCTACCCAGGGAAGCCAAGGCCTTTTCCTCCCCCTTGGACCCCAACAGAGCAAATTTATCCTCCACACAATGCAGGAGTAGAAAGGAACCCAGAGCTCTGCTCTGACCCCAGAACCACATGGGCAGGATGCCCATGGCACAGAGAGCCACCTACCATCTCTCCCCAGGGTGGCCTGAAGGGTGACCGAGGGGACCGGAGCCATAGGACAGCGAGGAGGGTGTTGCCTTGCATGCAGCCCACCCGGGTTCAATCCCTGGCATCCTGTATGGTCTGGTGAGCCCACCAGGAATGATTAGTTTACAGCCAGGAGTAAACCCTGAACATGCTAGATATGGCCCCAAAGCAAGGAAGAAAACAAACAAAACCCCTTAAATTCCCCAAAACAAAACAAAACAAATACTTAAGAGAAAAGTAAAGGGGCGGCTGAAGGAGCCATGAGGAAGGAAGGTGACTTCATTGGCAATGGGGACCTGGCAGGCTGGGACCCCCTTTGCCATAGTGATGGCTCAGCCCATCCCTGGCATCGAGAGTGGACAGTGACACTCCTTCCCCTCAGAGCCCAATTGTCAAGCTGCACTGTCACCTTTGGCATCTGGACTTCCTGGTGCCAGTGTCCCTGGGGCAGGTGCTGGTCTCCTGCTTTCTTCGGGAAACGCTGAGAGAAGTCACTGCCCAGTCTGTCCCAGGGGGCTGCAGCCCTTCCCCTGAGCAGCGGGCAGGAGACTCAAGGCTCGGTGCCCCCATGCAGGTGGGAGGTGAGGACCTAATGAGTCTAATGGGCTGTGGGTCATAACGAGTCTTCTTCTCTCCCTCCCATGCTAACCCTCCGGAACTAACAGCAAGCATTCAGAACGAGCGTAAGTCCCGGGCCTCGGCAGCACCTCAGGCGGGGGAGGACAGGAGAGAGGGGCAGGGAAGGCTGGGAAGGAGATCTCGAGGGTCCCTGGCCTCTCTCCACTGCCTTGAAGCACCTATGAGGGGCACTTGGGTGCTGTCAGGGGGCCCCAGGCACTCAGTGGAGCTGGGCCATGGACCCCTGCTCTGGGACTCATCTCTAGAAAGTTCTTAGGCTCACCTTTCCCTCTCAGCATCCACTTCACTGCTTCAGCCACGGGCTGCCCCTCCAGCGCTCCCAGCCATTGTGGTCCCCGAGTCCTGAAAACTCACCTGCTCTAGCTGCTTCCTATATTTACTCAGTAGACATGAAGAACTGCTATGCCCTGGCGTGCTATTAAGCGCCAGGCTCTAAGATTGCATGAGACCAAAGCCCGTCTTTGCTTGACCTGGGAGATCCTAAAGGGTCTCCTCACGCACGCACCCCACCCCTGGGACCCCATTTAAGGAGCCGGCTCTCTAGAACGGGGCTGTCCCTCTCTGCCTCCTGCTGCCCGCTCAGCATGTGGCTCCTGAGCTCCTCCCGGCTCTGGGAGGACCCGTGAGCCCCCATCGACCCAGGCTCTATCCACCCCACAGTGTCGCAGCCCCCCACCATCACCAAGCAGTCTGTGAAGGACCACATCGTGGACCCCCGAGACAACATCCTGATCGAGTGTGAAGCCAAAGGGAACCCTGCCCCCAGGTGAGTCCAAGACGCAGTTGGAGTTCTAACAATCCGTCCCCACGGGGTGGAGGTCACAATTTGGAGACCTAGAAAACTTAGTTGACGAGAAAACCGCGGGACAGAAAACTTCCTGGCGCAGGTCGCCACCAGAGAGCTGAGCTCAGTCTTGTGTCCTGCCCAGAACCTTCCCTGTGCCCGCGTTCCCCTCACCCGCCTGTGCAGCTTCTAGAAGTGCCTGTCTCTCCTGGGAGTGGTGTTTGTGAGGGTTCACGAGAGGCAGGACAGGACTGGAGGGGTGCTACCCTGCTGTGTCGCCTACCCTGGAAAGGTTGTGTCCATGGGAAGAGGGGTGCAGCCACAGAGGCGCCCGGCAGGAAGGGTGAGCCCAGACTTAACCCCAGCACCGGACGTGCCCTGGCAAGTGATGAGCAGCCACGTCACCCACATTAAAAGCCACATCATGTGTGGACCCAGCCAGGCACGAGCTGATGGAAGGATCAGGCCTGGTGGGACCTCCAAGGGGGGTTTTCACAGGAGAAATGAGCCCAGGGACCCCTGCATGACCGGCTCCTACCCCTAGCACCCCCATGACCCCGTGGGAAAAGGGGGGACTGACCTGGAAGGGACAGGCAGTGCACAGAGGCCTTCCTGTTTCTAGGCTCTTTCCCATTGTCTTTCTGGGAACAATGGCTGTAGCCCCCAGAAGTTCCTGCATCTGCTTCTGCTGTTTTTAAGTGGTCTCCAGGAGAGCAAATTACACGTGCACATGTTGTACCCATATATATCCACACTTTTTTTCTTTTTTTTTTTCCTCTTTGTGTCACATCCTTTTTTTTTTTTTTGGGTCACACCCGGCGATGCTCAGGAGTTACTCCTGGCTCATGTACTCAGGAATTGCTCCGGCAGTGCTCAGGGGACCATATGGGGTGCTGGGAATCGAACCTGTTCATTTGGGGTGAAGCCAGAGTCATGATTTCAGATGCTCAGGCCGGGGTCGGAAGGCCCCATGGTAGCAGAGGGGGCTCACTGGATTTAACCTAAAACCCAACGCCCGCAGAGGACGTGGTCCCTGGGCCTCCTGCCGTGTGGGTCCTGCTCCCTGAGACTCACTGAGAACCTGCAGTCAGGGCTGCCCTGCAGATGGGTCGGTTGTCTAGGCCCACTGGGACAGAAGGACGATTCTGGGACTGAACTCCACGTCCCCCCGCCCCCGAGTCTCCCCTGGAGCCCACCAGTGACTCCTCCTCGTCCACAGCTTCCACTGGACCCGCAACAGCAGGTTCTTCAACATCGCCAAGGACCCCCGCGTGTCGATGAGGAGGCGGTCGGGGACCCTGGTGATCGACTTCCGCAGTGGTGGGCGGCCCGAGGAGTACGAGGGCGAGTATCAGTGCTTCGCCCGCAACAAGTTCGGCACAGCCCTGTCCAACCGGATTCGCCTGCAGGTGTCCAGTAAGTCGGGGCGAGGGCTGATGCACCATCCTACCCGGGGCCCCAAGCTTTGTTTGGCCCTGGGTCCCCTACATGACCTGCTTGCTTCCTGAGCAGGGGTGGCACCTCCGTCCCCAGCTCAGAAAGACCTCGGGAAGAGGAAGTTTCCCAGCACATGGCTCAACTTCTCCAGCCTGGAACCCTGGGCACCTTTGAAGATAAAAGCCCTCTCCCACCTCTCGTGGACTGCTCCCTGCTTCAGCCCTCCTCCCTTTGGCTTCCTTTCTCCCCTTCTTCCTCCAACCAGCCCCTGCACGTCTGCCTCTAGCCCTGCTCCTGCTCCAACCGACACCTTCACTGTGATCTCCTTTGTCTGCTTCTTCCCAGAATCTCCTCTGTGGCCTAAGGAGAACCTCGACCCTGTGGTGGTCCAAGAGGGCGCGCCCTTGACTCTACAGTGCAACCCCCCGCCTGGACTGCCCTCCCCAGTCATCTTCTGGATGAGCAGCTGTAAGTCCTGGGACCCCAAGATCATGGGTGTGTTTATCTCAGGGACGGCGGTGGTCTGTGAGACAGCTGTAATGGTGCCACACGGCCGAGAATAGTGTCTGCAGAGGGAGTTGCTAGCGCTCACTTCCTAACCCAACTGCTATGTGCTGTGTGATCTTGAGTGAGTTGTTTAAACAACTCTGGGCCTCATTTTCCTCTTCCGGAAACAGTAAGACTATAATTATATGTCTCTAAGAGAATTATTATAAGGATAACTCAACAAATACGTCCAAAGTTTGGAATAGGAACAGGCACACAGTGAGTGTCTTGGTCATATTTGTCATGAGGAAAAGGGGACTAGGGGGTGAGGAGGATCAGGAGGTAAGGACCAGGGGGTGTGGCCACATCTTTCAGTGGACTGATTAGACCACATGATGTTCCTGGCACCCCCGAGAAGCCCTTCCCAGATGATCCTGACTAGGCCTGTTGGGATGACTGCTGCTGTCTCTCCTGCTGTCCTGACTTCCGGCTGCCTGCCTCTGCTTCCTTGCAGCCATGGAACCAATCACCCAGGACAAGCGTGTCTCTCAGGGCCATAACGGAGACCTGTACTTCTCCAACGTGCTACTGCAGGACATGCAGACCGACTACAGCTGCAACGCCCGCTTCCACTTCACCCACACCATCCAGCAGAAGAACCCCTTCACCCTCAAGGTCCTCACCAGTAAGTGCCACCCTGCCCGGGGCGGGTGCCAGGGCAACAGCCCACTGAGCCCCAGCAGCCCTGGGGACCTGGATCTGGCAGGGGGAACACTGATTCTAAGGCCCATCTAGCAGTCTGGTCCTCGCTCTTTTACTTGCGCTCCTTGAGCCGTTCCTGGTTCTGAAGCTCTATGTTGGTGCTTCTCAAACTTTGTGGGGCTCCTGGCAGTCATCCCGGCCCCATCCCTGGCCTGCCGGGGACGTTCATGTCCGGTCAGTCTGGCCTCTTTGTTCTCCTGAAGCCCTCCATGGGATGGGACACACACCCGAATTTGAGAAGCACCAGTTTCCACGGCCATCTGGTCTCCCCCACGTGCCGGATGACTTTATTTCTGTTTATTGTTATCATTTTCTCCAAGAATAACGAAGACTGTCCAGATTCGCAGACTGTATAGACTGGCCCATATGGAATCACTCTGCTTACAAGTTACAGACTTATGTTTCCGTTCTGTTTGATTTTGTTTTGAATCTGATTTGTTTCTACTGGAGTTTCTTAACTGGGACAGCCGTGGTGGGCCTCCGTGGGGGCACCCGAGAAACAGGACAGGCCCGTGCTAGGCCTGTGCCACTCAGGACAGGAGCGTGGGCCACCGTGATTTCTGTCATGGGTTTGTGACACTCCTCATAGAACTCCAAAGACCTGAATCTTCCCACCTCCACAGCACCTGTTATTTCCAGTCTTGGGGACAGTGACAGTTTTTTGGGGGAATCGTGCAAGGAACCTGATTCTTTTGGCCATTGGCAACTCCCTGAGGTCAGATAAGTGAGGCTGAGCCCTGGCTTCCCAGAGCCTACACACACAGGTGGCAGTGTCCCCTGTGGTGTGGGGGACTGGGGCGAGGCTTGGGGTATTGTGCCCAAGTTTCAACCCCAAGCCTCAGATCCCCAATTGTGAAGAGACCCAGTTCCACACACGATAATGCAAAAGCAAAGGAACTTTATTATTATCCCAAGCCAGTGCTAGCTCAAGCTAGGGTCCAAGTCTCATCCAACACAGTGGAGTCTTGACAAGGACCCTGACTCCAATTCACAAGCAGTTTATATAGGGTTCAGTCAAGAAGCGGTTTATATACTGGTCTGTTTACAGCATTGCCCTATTACAACACTGGTCAGCAATTAGACAGCAAGTGCCAGTAATGGTTTGGGGTTCTTTCCAAGAAGGGTGCAGTGACCCCTCATGAATGGCCAGATCCAACTGCCCAGGTTCTTATCTAGCTGAATTACTCAACTGGGAGTGTACCAGAAACTATAAGGCCTGCTCTGGGAAAACAGAAACTGAGGCCTAGTTGAGACCTAATGTTAGCTGCAGCCTATTATGGCTTCTGAGGAGCCTGCTTTTGGGTCTCAGAGGGGGAGCCACCTCTGTCAGCACAGGTGAGGTAGCTGCTCTGTCCCTCCTGCCCCCCACAGGGCTGAGTCCTCCCTTTCCTCTGAGGAGGAGGAAACAGTCCCGGGTCTTCTATCCTCTGGGGCATTTCTTTTCTTCTCTTCTGTCACATTGACTTCCTCTTGTAGTTTGTTCTTCATTGGCTTCCTCTCGTCAGTTTTTCTTCCTCCCTCTTTTCCTTCCGTTCTCTCGAGTCTCCCCCACCCCCGCCCTACCCACCCCGCACGGCTCCCTCACGGTTCCTAATTGGCCTCGAGTAGCCTGGCAGGGAGCAGGAAATCCAGGGCCCAGGGCCCAGCCACGTGTTCCTGGCAAGGTCCCCAGCTTCAGTCTGCTACTGTCCCCTCCTTGGCTTTCCTATGCCAGACGCAGGCCCAGCTGGGAGGAGCGGGCAGGGGACCGTTGGAGAAGAAAGTTGGGTTGTCTACAGTGTCTCCTGGGTGTGCATCCAGGGTAGCCCCTCCAGCTGGCTGGGCTGCAGGGACAGTGTGGTCTGCCCGGGGCCTCAGCCTCCCTTCTGGAGCCAGAGCAGAGCTGGCAGCACTAGGCAAGGGGCGGCAGGGATGTAGGAGCCCATGCGCAGACACCTCAGCGCCTCCTGTTGCACCAGGGAGATGGGGAGTCCAGTGGGTAGAGAATGTGGGCTTCCAGCAGCCGTCTCCCCGCCCAGGCAGGCTTCGCTTCCTTTCTGCCCTTCCCACACTGAACTGAAATCTCTCCCGCTGACGGGACCTCCAGCCTGCAGGCATACTTCCAGGGGCGGCTCTGATGGGGAGCAAGTTCTGGGTCTCTGAGCAGGCCCAGAGTTGACACCAGCTTTCCAAGTAACTCAATTAAGCTATCCGCTCTCCTGGCTGGCAGGGGTGCAGGCTTTACCTTGTATGGTTAGGACTAGTCCTGGGCTGGCTACCAAAGATCTGGGGGTCCACTGCAAGACCTTCTCTCACCAGGACCCTGGTTCAGCCTGCCCACAGGAAGCAATGAGCCTCCTTTCTGCTCGCCGTGTGGACTCTGGGCCTAGGAGGGCTGTGGTCAGACTCACTGTGGGGCCTTGGGCCCAGGAGGGCCATGGTTATACCCATTGTGTAGACCCTGGGCCCAGGAGGTCTGTGATCATACCCACTGTATAGACCCTGGGCCCAGGAGGGCTGTGGTCATACCTGCTGTGTGGACCCTGGGCCCAAGAGGGCTGTGTTCATACTCGCTGTGGGACCCTGGGCCCAAGAGGGCTGTGGTCATACCCACTGTGTAGACCCTGGGCCCAGGAAGGCTGTGTTCATACCTGCTGTGTGTGGACCCTGGACCCAGTAGGGCTGTGGTCATACCAGCTGTGGGCCCTGGATCTAGGAGGGGCACAGCAGGCCTGACCTCCAGACTGGCCATCCCCAGTCACTTTCCAGTTCGCTCTGGGACATGGCTGAAGGGCAGCAGCCTCCTGGGGCTGGTGTGGATGTCACACAGTGCCCTCTTTCCCAGTGGGGCCTCTATGGGGTGAGTATGTCACCCTGAGACACAGTGAGGACTCCTAGGCCAGGGAGGCAGCTCAGTGGCACAGCCATGGCCTTGCACGGGTGAGTCCTGGGTTCATTCAGTCCTCGAAACACCAGAAAATATTTATATTTTTAGTTCAAAATTAAACAGAGATAATACAAGAGGTAAGGTGCTCACCATGCCTGCAGCCATCCCCACCCTGGTTCCTAACACACCATATGGTCCCCCGAGACTACCAGGTGTGGCCCCAAATCCCCAAATAAAGACATCAGTGAAGTAACAGCCAGGAAAGTTTTCACCCTAATTCCTTCTATGCTTATGTGACATTCTTAAAGCATAAGAGGTCTGAGTTTCTTGGACGTGCTCCAGAATTGGCAAGCTGTGAGGTCCCTTCAGAGCTTGGTCACTTCTCTGAGGTCCTGTTTACCTGATGGCAGGGTCACCTGTCTGCGTGTCCGGTCCCCTGCTCCCACAACCCACTATACCGTTTCCCCATTGCCTGCAAATCCCTCCAGCTGAGCTCCAGCTATACCACACTCCCTTTGCCAGGACAGGCGAGTCCTCTCTGACACACCCTCCAATGTGAGCATTCTAAATCATGAAACTCTTCCTCCTGGGTGTTCATATCCAGGCTGTGATGCAGTGCCAACCTCACCAAAGAGCACGCACAGCCCCCTGACATCACTTGTCTGAGCTGCTTCCAGAACTGAGGCTTCTGGGAGTTCTGGGAGTGCCTGGTCATTTTGGACTAGGTCTCTGTTCCTGCTTTGGGGAACACTCGGCTTGATATGTGGGTGGCTTCCCCAACCCCCTCTGGCCCTGCTGGTCCTGTCAAACTTGAACCCATGCCTGGGAGGAGATGGTGACATGAGAAACCCCTTAAGGACGTTGGCGTGATGGTGTTCTGCCCCATAAGCATTTTGCTGAGCATGAGATGCCTCTGGATTGAGCCCCCCGATATTCAGAAGCCAAGGCTACCGGCCTGCCCACTGGGGAAGGTCCCACAGGCAGGTTTAGGGCTCCATCTGCAGCTTAGTCAGTGGCCTTCCCCAGCCCACAGTGGATAATGCACAAGCAGCACCCTCCTGCCCCAGCTTTCTCCTTGGTGATAAAATCTGGGCCACTCTCACCACCACTCTGTTTCTTTTGAACTGAATCACCGTGAGATACAGTCACAAAGCTATCATGATTAGTTTTCAGTCATACAATGTTTCAACAGCCATCCCTTCATCAGTGTGCATTTCACCACAAATATCCCCTGTATCTCTCCTGCCACCACTCACCCCCTCCCCAGCCCCACTAACCTGCCTCTATGGCAGGCACTTTTCTTCTCTCTCTCTCTCTCTCTCTCTCTCTCTCTCTCTCTCTCTCTCTCTCTCTCTCCTGTTGGGCATTATGGTTTGCAATAGATACTGAGAGGCCATCATGTTTGGTCCACTTTCAGCACACATCTCTCGTCCAAAGCACACATCAGCACACATCTTCCAACCATCATTGTCATACTGCTCCCTTCTCTATCCCAGTAGCCTTCTCCCCCAGCACTTGAGGCAGACTTCCAACTGTGGACCAATCCTCCTGGTCCTTGTTTCTACTGTCCTTGGGTGTCAGTCTCATACTATGTTTTCTTATATCCCACAAAGGAGTGCAGTCATTGTCTATCCCTCTCCTTCTGACTCATTTCACTCAGCATGATACTCTCCATGTCCATTCTCATGACCACTCCGAGACTCAGTTGGAGACCTTTCTGCCAACAGACACGTCTCGGAGACCAGGGAGAGAAGGGTTCCCCCAGTCGGGTTTGGGGGTGTTGTTGGTCTGCCTGTGTTTGCTCAGGTCCCATGTCCACTCTCTCCAATGATGAGCGCTCTCGAACATTCTCCTCCATCACCTGGCTAGTGTCTGCTCAGGGCAGATATGACTATTCTCCAGGCCCACTAATGCCTTTCTCTTTAGTGACCCCAGGAGCTACCTGACCCACAGTCCTGGGCATGAGGTGCTGGATGAAAGGAGTTTTTCCAAAGACTGCTCAGGATGCCACTAACCCTTCTTATTTGTTTGAAAACTTACAGGATAAAGTAATTAAAGGTCAAGCCTAATTTCTTTCATTAAAACTTATTGCCTTCTTTTGCAGGATTTAACCTTTTCTTCCCTTCCGGGGCTATTTTGTGTTGCTTGTTCTTCACCAAATGTATTTCCTTTACAAACATGCCCTGTTTTTCTTTGCAAAAGACCACTGGTGCTGTCCTAGTTGCGGCTTTGCCTTTCTGTTGGTTCCCTCCTATTTATGCCTCTGTGACCTCCGTGGCCCCGTTTGCTCACCCTCTTTTGTTTGTTGCAGACAACCCCTATAATGACTCGTCCTTAAGAAACCACCCTGACATTTACAGTGGTGAGTCGCTGCGTGACCTTGGGAGTAACCTTGCCTATCCTAACTTCCGTTTGCCTAACTCGACTCATGGCATGTCATTAACTGTGCCTGGGGGGCGGTCTGAGCGCTGGCCAGGTCCAGTGCCATGGAACCAGCCCCCAAACACTGCCAGTCAGCAGGACTATGGACAGTGTGGGAGCTGGTGGTTGGTCGCTCAGGTGGTGGTGGACTCTGCCCCCCCCACCCCCCACCCCAGCCCCTCAGTGCACTGCAGTTGCTGGATTCTGGACAAATTGTTCCAACCGGGACTTCTGAACAAAACCTTGTGGATTCGGTAGAATCTTAGGAATCTGTGGTCAATGGACAGCAAGGATCTGAAGAGGGACCAGAAATTCCTACTTTAGAGGGTCAAGGAGCATGAAGGCTTTGTAGTGAGTGCCTGGAGGGACTTGTCCAGCCTCAGTCTAGCCTTTATGATCGGGTCTGTGGGGCTAAAAGACCCAACTAGATTTTGAAGACAAGTCGGAGCCCAATTCTGAACTTTCTTCCCAGGCCGGCCACGAAGGGCGCCCTGTCTCCCGTGCCTCTCCTCCCCTTTGGGTGCGTGTGTCCACACATCTGGAAGGCACCAACTGCTCTATGGGCCTGTTTCTGCCACAGCACAACCGCTGGCTCTGTGGCCTAATTAATCAAGTAATGGGCTCTTGTCACACCTGACTTGCTCCCCACCACGGATCATGAATGTCGTGTTCTCAGTGAGCAGCGGGGGGCGGGGGGGGGACCATCATTTGCTAGTTCTGCCAAGCAGCTGGGTCCCTCATCAGTCATGCCTCTGGATCAGTGGCCCTGAGGCTGCTGGTGCTGACTGTGGGCTCAGATCGATGGGACGAGTCTGTGATGTGCCACATGAACAATGATCCCTGTCTGGTGAGGAGCCGGTTAGCTTGGCGTCCAGCAGCTCAAAAATCCTGAGGAAGCCAAGAATCCAGGCTGGATTCTGAGCATTTGTTTCCAAGTCATATTTTGAAACATGCCAGTGGAGCCTCAGTCAGTACTGTGTGTGGAAGGTGCCCTTTCCTAGATGGGATTCTAGGTGATCTGTTATGGAAGCATTCTTGGAGCTGGAGTGTATCCGAGCCAGATGGTCCCTCACCTGATGTAAAGCTCCTGACTTTATGTACGATAAGCAGCCAGGGAACATGCAGTCAGAGCTCTTTCATCCGTGGGATACATTTGGTGAGCCCGGCGACTTAGAGCGGTTTGTAAGCAGTAGCAGATACGATGAGTGGCCGACTAGGAATTACAGAACCACTAGTGCTAGGAAACAGAACCCCCCACCCCCACTTCTCTGCAATCCAGGATAAAATAAGGCTGGCCAGACTCAAAGTCCACTGGGAAGATGGCCAAGTCAAAGCAGGGTCAGAGTAAAGTAAAGGACAGAGAGGTGGGATGCTTCTAGAAAGAAAAAGCCGAAAGGAAAACAAGGTCCTTCCTGAGCACAGGGCACTAGACCCAGCAAGTGTCATTGTTCAGTACCTCTCTCATCTGCCACATAGCAGTTGACGAGGGCCACGGGCAGTACCACAGTGACTTGGATTCCTCTGCCCAGATGCCACTGAGATGCTGAATTGGGGAAGCTTACCTGCGGCAGGAGTGATAGCACAGTGGTAGGGTGTTTGCCTTGTGTACAACCAGCCCGGCCGAGCCGGGTTCGATTCCTCTGCCCTTCTCGGAGAGCCTGGCAAGCCACCGAGAGTATCTCGCCTGCATTGCAAAGCCCAGCAAGCTCCCCATGACGTAGTCAATATGCCAAACACAGTAACAACAAGTCTCACGATGGAGACGTTACTGGGCCCGCTCAAACAAATCGATGAACAGTGGGAGGACCGTGACCTGCGGATGTGGGTTGGCACCTAGAATTCAGTCAATACTGAAATAGGAAATCATGAGAACACCCTCAAAGGTGGTACTCGCGTGACTTCCTGTCACATGACTTCCTGTTAACTTTGATCCAGGCTCCAGAATGGACTCGGACAAGTTGTTTTGTGTGCCAGAAGTTGAATTTTCTTCATCTTTGAAGTGGGTGTGCGCACTACCTCTCTCTTGGGTTTCAGATGTCCTGGTAGGGCAGGGACATAATTGTGAATAGTAAATGCTGCCCTCATCTATTTTATTTTATTTTGGGGGTCACATCTGGCAATGCTCAGGCTCTGCACTCAGGAATCACCCCTGGCAGTGTTCAGAGGACCATGTGGGATGCCGGGGATCAAACCCAGGTCAGCCACATGCAAGGCAAATGCCCTACCTGCTGTACTATCACTCCAGCACCCTCATCCGTTTTAAAGGGCAGGGTTTAGTGCTGACCGTATCAGGTATAACCGATCTGCGTTTCTGAAATGTAGCAAGATGCAGAGAGCAGGAAGAGAAGCAATGGAACAAGAGGCAAAGGCAGTTATGGGAAGGAAGTCCTGATGGGAAAGCGACTTAGGACAGACCGAGACACAGTTCAGACTAGGGCTGTGCTGACACGGGGTGAGAAAGTGCCAAGTGCTGCGTGGGGGATTTGGGTTAGACTTCTGGAAGAGACTTTTGGCAGTGGCCATGTCCAGCATTATCTGCCAAAGCGTTTTTCTGCTTTCCGTGGTCTCCTGGCTGCCGTTTCCTGGTGCTAGGGAGCCAGCTCCGAAGTAGCATCCTGTCCCGGGAATTGTTGCCTCTGGGCCCAGGAGCCTATTCAGCCACTCTTGACAGAGATGCCCTCTGAATGCCAGCTCTACAGGCTGCACACACAGACAAGGCCCCTTCCAGCACACTGACCTTTCCCCAGATGGACGGCCTTGGGGGTTGAGACAGCATCTCCCAAGTTCTCACCAGGTCCCCTGGCAGCTCAGGTACCCCTTCTCCAGCCTTGGGCTGGTGAGAGCCAAAGAGGATAGCATCAGGTCAAAGGTCATACAGGCCCACATGGCCCAAATGTGAGCTCTGGCTTCCGGGCTCTGAATTTGATCAGGCCTTTGGCTCCAAACCACTTCTGAAGTTTGGGAGGAAAAGAGAAGGCTATGGAGCTGGGAAGGTCTCCAAGACCCACATCCCACAGAGCCACAGATCTCTGTGGGAGCAAAGAGATATTGACGGTGGCACCCAGGGGACTGCCTCTGAGTCCCACAGAGTTTCCATCTCACATGGCGAGGTCTCTTTGTCCTTGTCTCCTGGGCCCGCTTCCATGGGGGAAGAGATTAGCTCTTCGCCAGTGTTCACGTAATGCCTTCTGCTTCACTGGCACGTTTCTTTACCCTTTGTCCCGATGCAACTTCTGGACCCACCACGTGCAGCCTAGTGTGGTTCCTTATCAAACTCCCCACATCCAAGAGAATCCAAGAGAATTGGAGACCTTCCCAGCTCCATAGCCTTCTCTTTTCCTCCCAAACTTCAGGATTGAGGGACCAGAGATAGTACAAGGGAGTCCTCTCCCTGCCTCCTGCTCCCAAAGAATCCAGTTGAGGTATCGTTGGAGCCTTTGAATTCCCTCTAGAACTTGTCCACGTGGACCTGAGTTTATTTAAGAGCCATTGAGGAGAGATGGAATATTAACTCAGCTGGTGAGAACAGGTTGGAGGAAAATGTAGAGGAAGCCAAGACAGAAACACCTTTCACTTTCACCTCGAGTCCCCTCAGATATTTCTTTCTTTCGTTGAAGGAAGAAAGCTGTCTCCGAAGCTGACAGACAGAGGGCAGGACAGAGGGAGTTTCCATCTGTAAAGAGAGAACAAAGACAGAACAAGAGTGAGAAAGGGCCAGGGGCCTCAGGGCTGTGCAGGAAACAGGGAATTGTGGCCACTCTGTGTGGTGATTGCACAGGGCTGTGAATTTCCTCTGAGAAACATCTCAGGATGTGTTTCTGTCTGGTTTGGAACTGTGGCTTATTCTCCACCTGCTCCTCTTCCTTGGAGCCGAGTCTGGGGTTGCTAGCTCTCACCTTGCAGGTGTAGTACTGCCCTAGCCTCTGGTCCCAGCACCTTGTCCCAGCACCCACTGCCGCCTCCTTCCCGCACTTGACCCTCTCCTGGCCTCGAGGGTTCATGGTACTGCACATAATGACGTGAATAATCCAATGTCTACTAGGTCCCTAGTTCCTGCTTCAGCTTCTGTTCCTGAGAGGGGACAAGGGGAAGTGTTCTGACTGAGGTGGCACCTCCCCCTGTACTTCCGGGCCTCCCAGCCTCCAAAAGGCCTTCACAGCACCTCCTGCCCTCCTCCGTCTCTAGGGTCTCCGCCTGGATGGTCTGAAGGGGATTGAAAAGGGTGGGGGGATGCCACTCGGCCCTTGGTTCCCTGATGCCACAGGGGTGATGGACATGCATGGTAACCAATTAACCCTATAATGGATTAACCCCTCCATAGCCATTGTGGGGGCCGAGTAGTGTGCCAGGGACAGATAGGTCAGCTGCAGAGAGATGAAGAATGTGGGCTGACTTGCTGCCTTTCCCCTCTCCTTCCAACTCTCCCTGCCCCCTGCCCTCACACTTACTGGACACTTTCTACGTTCTAACAGCCTGATGGCCTCTGTGAAGGTTTAACAGCCAACACCAAGAGAGTCCTTGCTGGCTCTGGGACAGGTGCTCTCTGTGGGCCGGTGTCTCTGGGACAGGAGCAGCCTGACGCCAGCTAGCACATCCAGCTCCCCCAGGAGACCCCCCCAATTCCCTGTCACTCTCCTTCCTCCTCAAAACACTAAGGGCCCTCTCCCCCCAAAGCTGGGTTTTCCCTTTGGCCCCCAGGACTCCAGGCCCTGCACCCCTGTCCCTGTCACTTCTCCAGCTGGAGTTGGCAGGTATATATTTAAAAAAAAAACAACTCATATTTATAGTCATACACGCTTGAGTAGGGGATGCTTTCTCCCACCTTCCTGCTGCTTTGGGGCCTCTGCCAGGGTCCTCCTCCTTCTGTGTTACTCATCTCTATAGAACGGTGCAGAGCGCTCTGAAGGAGCCACGAGGCACAGGAGGAAGACTAAGGAGGAGCAGGCTGGCATGGCCCCTTCCACAATCACGGCACCCCCACCCCCACCCATCTTCTCTGTGAGCCCCCAGACCCACTGAGGTGCCTCATTGAATTGCAGATGGGCCCCTTTGTCTTGGCTTCCCTCCCATCTCTTTCATCTAATTAACACCCTCCCGCCCAGCCCCCTTCCAAAGTCATTACTGAAGAAGCCCGTCTGGCCCCCGAGTGATTTCCTGCCATCTCTGCTCATTAATTCTCCCCATGCCTTTGCGAAACCATTAATAACACCGCCTGCATCTTTGACTGTTTGTCTGGGTCTCTGTGGCTTCGTCCCAGCCCCCCCTGGTCCCTCGGGTCCCCCAGCACAGGCCTCTTCTCTTTATTCCGCGTCCCTGTCTCAGGGACCAGCTCTGATGCTGAGATGGCTTCCCTGCACACCCCCACCCCCATACACACACACACACACACACACACACACACACACACACACACACCATGGCATCCGGATCCCAGCACAACTTCCGCACTGCACAGACCACCCTGTGTCCCCTGCCCAGAGGGAGAGATGGGCCGGATCCCTCAACAGAGCCTCGCACGCATGTGCAGCGGGGCCAAGGAGCTTCCTGACACCCGGTTGTCCATGGTGCCCCCTTCCATGTGACGGACAGGACTGGAGCGGGGACTAAGGGGGCGTGATGACATCTCTTCTCGAGCCTCACAGCCCAGGCCTCGCCGGCTGGTGGGCTCCGCCCGGAGGCTCACTCGAGCTCGTTCTGTGTGCTTCCAGCCCGAGGAGTCGCAGAAAGAACACCCAGCTTCATGTATCCCCAGGGCACCTCGAGCAGCCAGATGGTACTGCGTGGCACGGACCTCCTGCTGGAGTGCATCGCCTCCGGGGTGTACGTACCAGCGCACCCCACTTCTGGCCTGGGAGCTTGTGCATGCTCTGTTCCCGCCGTGCTGGAGGAAAGGGCAGTTAGAGAAGCACCTGGCCTTAGCGAGGCCCCACACATGGGCCCACCCCTGCCCCTCGCCGCCTCTCTCCCGAATGGAGAGAAACAGGGCGGCCTGTGAGGCATATTCTATCCCATCAGAGCGAGTGTTCCTCCAGATAGGAGATCAGGTCTCGGAGGGTGTGCGCTGTAGGGACACCTGGTTACCTGGCCCGGGAGGGAAGGGCAAGGAACCGTGAGTGAGGGTCTCTTTCCACTTGCCTCCCTGCCAGCCCAACGCCAGACATCGCCTGGTACAAGAAAGGGGGGGACCTCCCATCTGACAAGGCCAAGTTTGAGAACTTTAACAAGGCGCTGCGCATCACCAACGTCTCCGAGGAGGATTCTGGGGAGTATTTCTGCCTGGCCTCCAACAAGATGGGCAGCATCCGGCACACGATCTCGGTGAGAGTAAAGGGTACGTTGTGTGTATTTCTCATTACGATGCCTTTGCGCCCCCACGCCATGACCACCTTCCCTCAGAGGGGGCTGGGGCTGTGTGAGTGGGGGGCTGCAGACACCCTGGTTAGTGACAAATAGTGGCCTGCCTGGGCGGGGTCACCTCCTGAGTGCATATGTGACTGTGAGCATGTGTGACTGCATGTGAGTGTGTGACTGTGAGAGTCTGTGTGAACGTGTGTGAGGTTGTGAGACTGTATGTGTGTGAGAGTATTGTGTGAGTGTGTGACTGAGTGTATGTGAGCATGTGTGAAGGTGTGTATGAGGGTGTGTGACTGTGTGTGAGTGTGACTGTGAGAGTGTGTGAGGGTATGTGGCTGTGTGTGAGTGTGACTGAGTGTATGTGAACATGTATAAGGGTGAGTGAATGTGTATGACAATGTTGTGTGTGAGTGTGAGTATGTGACTGTGAGTATGTGTGAGGGAGTGTGCCTGAGAGTATGTGAATGTGTGTAAGGGTGAGTGAGTGCGCATGACAATGTTGTGTCTGAGTGTATGTGACTGTGAGTATGTGTGAGGGTATGTAACTGTGTGAGTGTGACTGAGAGTATATGAACGTGTATAAGGGTGAGTGAGTGTTTGTGACAGTGTTGTATCTGACTGTATGTGTGAGGGTGTGTGACTGTGTGAGAGTGACCGAAAGTGTCTGAACATTTATGAGGATGTGTGTGAGTATGTATGACAGTGTTACGTCTGAGTGTGAGATGGAGAGTGAGAGTATGTGACTGTGTGAGTGTGACTAAGAGTGTGTGAACATGTATGAGAGTGTGTGTGTGTGTGACAGTGTTGTGTGTGTGTGACTGACAGTGTATGTGAGCATGTGTGAGGGTGTTTGTGAGGGTATGTGATTGTGTATATTAGGGGGTTGTGTGAGTGTGTGACTATGATAGTGTGTGAACATGTGTGAGGGTGAGTTTGTGAGTGTGCATTTGTGTATGTCTATAAGTGTGTCAGTGTGTATGAGTGTTGTGAGTGTGGAAGTGTGTATATGGGGGGGGGGGGCGACCCGGAGTCAGTGCCCTCGCTTCCCCGCACATGGAGCCTTTTCCTCCCTCCTCCATCCTGCATTCCCGTCCACATGTGTGTCTCGCCCTGTGCCATCTGTGTACTTGTACTCAGTGCTCTGCTGCTTTTTCAACACGGGGAACGCCTCGGGTGTTTATTGGCCGATAAACAACGTGGAGTATAAACACCCGCTAGAATCTGATTCCTTCCGAGAAGGGAGTGTGTGACTGTTGCCATCCCCCACCCACCCCACCCCCACCCCTCCAGCAAGACTGTGCTCAGTGAGAGACATCACTCCATTTCATGTCTCATTGGCACAGAAAGTCCACATCAGTGATGTCTGGGCAGCCAGGCAGCTCAGCTCAATGTCTTCCCAGGGAATGATGAATGTGGTGGGGCAGTAGATGAGAGTGATGATTGTGTATTAGGATTCCAGCCAATGTCACTAAAACTCAGTTTGTGTCACATACATCTTATGCAATAGAAAGAAGATATTGTAAAAACAAATGGGGTGTCATTGTGGCCCAGTGTCCTTCTGCCGTGCCAGGGACTGACCCAGGGCCTCACAGATACAAAGCTTGAGTTCTGCCTTTAGCCCGATTCCTGACCCTCCTCGATTTCTTTCATATCGTCACTTTGCTCCCCCCAGCCCTGGTGCTCCAGCTGAACAAATGTGGGGCTCGGTGGGGGCTCATGGCCAGTGGTGGTGAGGGCCGCTCCGCCGTGCTTACTCAGACACTCTCGGTGGACCTTGTGATCCAGGTTCACCACACCTCACCTGGTGCCCTGATGTCCATGTGGGTAGGGGACTTTGAGAATTGGATTTGAAAGACTCTCTCTTCAGAAAAACCCACGTGTCCTGTCACCATTGCTCAGTTGGAAGTTCACCGTGCCTCCCAGTTGCTGCTCTGACCCAGCCTGGGGTCAGAAGAATGATCCCAAGGCCCTTCCTATGGTCGCATCATCTGTGGTAGCTGAGACTTGAGGGCTGACCCTCAACTACCTGGCCACCTTCCCGGCTCAGGCCTCACTGAATCCCGCCTTGCTCTGAGAGCTGTTCACACTGGGCCTCCCTCATCTTTGACTCAGGTCACGGGCCAACCCTGGCATGTATATTGGCTCAGGGCTCAGGGGGACTTTAATGAACAGCCCCCGCCTCAGAACTCCCATCCTCTAGACTGGAAATCGGCAGGGCCACATTTGTGGTGCCACATCGGCCACATTGTCCCGTGAGACTGAGCCCAGGCGGGTGCAGAGCGCCAGGGGCCAGCCCTCAACGCCTCTTGCCCTCCACAGGGGCCTGCAGCTGCCTTCTGCCTGGCCCTGGCTCTCTAACAGCCTGCCGCACCCTCCTTGTCTTGCAGCTGCTCCCTACTGGCTAGACGAGCCCAAGAACCTGATCCTGGCTCCTGGGGAAGACGGCAGGCTGGTGTGTCGAGCCAACGGGAACCCCAAGCCCACCGTGCAGTGGATGGTGAATGGGGAGCCTTTACAATGTGAGTCCTGCCGTGTCGTCCTGTGACTCCCTTCTCTCCTTCAGGGGCTTCATGTGCCTTGCACCAGGGCCAGCCCTGCTCGGCTGGAATGACTGGAACATGCCACCCACTGACTGCTGTCTCGGAGTCCTGCATGTCTGAGACCCTCTCAGGAGGCAGGAAGTGGGCCTGTCTGAGTGAGAGGACAGGAAGCCGTGACTGTTCCTGTGTCCAGGGGCGGGGGTGGGGGTCTTCCCCTTGTTTTTTTCGTTAAGTCACTGCTTTCTGCCTGTAAGAGTCACAAAGCCAAGCCGGGGAGAGGTTCAGAGGCCAAGGGGTTCAATCCTTGGCACCTAAGGTCCCCCAAGCACTGCCCAGAGTGACCCCAAAATAGCACCAAGAGTAGCCCCTGCCAGGAGCACTGCCAGGTGGGTTTTAAAATTCAGGGATAGAAACAGCCACAGAACCCATCACAGGTGTGGTGGCGGTGTGGCCTCTGTGAGCATGGCTATGGCCATGGCCGTGACAGAGACTCACGCCCCTTAGTACCTGGAGCATCCAGTGGTGAGTAGGTCGTGATGGGTTGAGGGCACCTCCCATGGGGACAGAGCCACAGCAGTGCATATGTGTGTGTGGGGGGTGCAGACTCTAGGGGCCAGTCCTGCTCCAGCAGCACTTCCAGATCCCTCCCACAAGGCCCCAGTTCTTCACGTGCTCCCCTGTTCTAGGAAATGCAGAGTGAGATGACATGGTGAGATCTCAGAGTCTAACTCAGGCTGGGGAGTGGGGGACCATCTCTGGGATACTCAGTGTGCACCAGGTACAGTCTGCAGGGTTAGGAGTAGGGCTCTGGGTGCCCAGGGTACTGAGGTTATGTGACTGCTGAGTGCCTCCCACCCCCACCCCACTTCCCCATCCAGCCTCAGCAAATCTCCTTCCTCTGGACACCACCAGGGATGGCCCTGCCGCCCTTTGCTCCGCTCCTGGGACATGGCTCTTTGGGGTTGCAGGGAACCGGCACTGAGCTTCCGGTGCTCTATACCATCAATAAATACAGCAGCAGGCCCGGAAATGCTGCTTTCCTTGGAGGAGGGTCCCTGGGATGGCTGAGTCTCTCAGGCTGCCTTGTCTTCAGCTCCTCCTGCTGATGCCCAGTCCCGGGCTGAGGGTAACACCTGGTCCTCCACCCACTGTCCCCTTAGGCCAAGTCCCAATGACTCACAGACCATGAAAGCCCCAATCAGCCCCCATCAGGAAATCATGGAGTCAAGTAGCTGTCAACATCTCTAGGTTTGTCCTGCTGTTAGGAGTCTCTTCTCTTAACCTTGGAATAGGGCTACAAGGAGAAAACTTCTCCTCCATATGAAGGGAAGACTGGGAGAAAGACTCAAAGGTTGGATGCAGGTCCCAGGGGACGTACTGACAAGATGGGGCCCCGTATCCTGTGCTGGCCTCGCTCTCTTGTTGCACCCAGTGGGACAGAGAGGGCCTTGGGTTTGGTTCTCTGCTTAGATTAGCATTCTCCAACCACTAGTATAGAAAGACTGAAAACATCTGTGCTTTGATAATAACGGCCAGTCTGTGGACTCGTGTATAGGCCAGGCTCCGGGTCCTGGGGGTTGGAGAATGCTGGCATAGATGACATTGCTTCCAGAAAATCAGGATAGAAGCAAGAGTGGCTGCACTTTCAGCAACCGTCAGCCACTGGCTTGACTCTGGCGCCAGGGTAAGGGTCTAGAGGGCAGATCCCTCCCGATGCTTGGTGCTTGGCCCCTTGCAAAACAGATTTAAATAAGTGTTCATTGTATTCAAATATACCCTAAGAGAAAAAAAGCTTCAAGAGTTTTTTTGTTTGTTTGTTTTTGTTTTTGCATATGGGAGGCCTGAGTTTGGTCCCCAGCACTGAATGGTTCCTACTAGGAATGACCCCTGAGCACCACCAGGTGTGGTTCAAAAACAAAAACAAAAGTCAAGTAACAACAGTACTTAGCACTGGTAATAGTAACCAGTCTGTTGTTCTGTGCATGAACTCGGCCCCATGAGAAGCCAGGTAAGCTGTTGTCCCCATTCTGCAGAGACAGGAGCTGAGTCTCTGCTGCACTGAGCTGCAGCAGCAGGTGAGGGGGTCGGGAGGCAAACCACCTGTGCCCGGTCTCCCCCGTAGGTGTGGCCGGGTGGTTTTCCTGGGGGCAACCAGAGTGGGCACCATGCAGGGCTCAGATAGGCCCGGGGAGCAGTGTTTGGGACCCAGGTCCACTGGGACCCCCTGGCATGCAGCCCTTCTAGGGGGCCCTGCCCCCTGGTTTCCTGCACCTCTCAAGGACCACTTTTCTTCTCCCTAGCGGCACCCCCGAACCCAAACCGCGAGGTGGCTGGGGACACCATCATCTTCCGGGACACCCAGATCAGCAGCAGGGCCGTGTACCAATGTAATACGTCCAACGAGCACGGCTACCTGCTGGCCAATGCCTTCGTCAGCGTGTTGGGTGAGCAGCCCCTGCAAGCCCCCCCCCCCCCCCCCCGAGCAGCCAGGCTGGGGGCAGCAGGGTGGGCAGCAGGGAGTCTGTCTGGGGACGGAGGGGTGATGCCTCGTACCTGAGGAACAGGTATGGGACCTGCAGGGGAATGCAGGAAACCCTGGGTGCGGCCTCCTCCTTCCTTCCTAACCCTCAGGGGCCTCTTCCGGGATGGGCTTAGCTGGGGAGCCACGGGGGGCTTCTGGCAGCTTCTTTGAGGAAAGGCCCATAGAGACCAGACTGAGGGCAGGAAGTGAGGGTTTGGCTCCCCGCTGAGACCACGTCTCCGGGGTTCCTAGATGTGCCCCCTCGGATGCTGTCCCCCCGGAACCAGCTCATCCGGGTGATCCTTTACAACCGGACTCGGCTGGACTGTCCGTTCTTTGGGTCCCCCATCCCCACGCTCCGCTGGTAAGTTCTAGAAGTCCAGGCCGCGACTGTACGGGCTGTGCCTCACTGATGGGTCCCCACTCCCACCTGGCCCCACGGAGCCAGGGAGAGGGTGTAGGGCCCTGGGGGTCTCCCTGATCGTACCTAGAAGGAAAGCACGGCTCTGAGATGGCCACAGACACGCCAGGGTCTCTCAGGGCTCAAAGGCAGGTCATACGGTCTGGACCCCAGACTCCAAAATGGCCTCCTCCCCTGCCCACTGCCTGCACAATCCACAATCTCCCCCACTGCCCACATGATTCCCCACTGCCCACATGACCCCCGCTGCCCACACAATCCCCCCCTGCACAATTCCCCCAGTGCCTGCACCCCCTCTCCGCTGCCGTGACCCCTGCAGTAGGTGGCGGCCCCCTCGGGACTGGCCCTGTCTCAGGATGCTGCGTGTCCTGCTGCTCTGTTGTGAGGTTTAAGAATGGGCAGGGAAGCAACCTGGACGGCGGCAACTACCACGTCTACGAGAACGGCAGCCTGGAGATCAAGATGATCCGCAAGGAGGACCAGGGCATCTACACCTGCGTGGCCACCAACATCCTGGGCAAAGCCGAGAACCAGGTCCGCCTGGAGGTCAAAGGTAAAGGAGAGGCCTGGGGGAAGAAGACCATCCCCTGGGAAGGCCCCCACGCTGTGGACAGAGGTGAGTGGGCAGAGACACCCTGATGTTTTCCTAGACCCCACGAGGATCTTTCGGATGCCGGAGGACCAGACAGTCACTCGGGGGAGCACGGTGCAGCTGGAGTGCCGGGTGAAGCACGACCCTTCCCTTCGGCTCTCTGTGTCCTGGATGAAGGACGACGAGCCGCTCTACATTGGAAACAGGTCTCTGCTCACTCCACTCCTGAAAAGGGTCGGGATGTGTGTGTGTCCTGCCCCCCCCCTCTCTCTCTCTCCCTCTCTCTCTCTCTCTCTCTCTCACACACACACACACACAAACAAACACACGCTCACACCCTCCTGGGAAGGGTCGAATGCTCCCCCCCCCACACACACACACATACAGACACATGTTATGCTCACTCTTCTTGGGAAGAGTTGGATGCCCGCTACCCCCTCTCACACACACACACACACACACACACATAGAAACACCTGCTCACCCTCTTCCTGGGAAGGGTTGGATGTACCCCCCTCCCCGACCCCTGCAACACCACACACACATGCACACATGCACACACACACACACACACACACACACACACACTCACACATGCTCATTCCCTTCCTGGGAAGTGTTGGGACCACCCCTCCCCTCCTCACTCCCCTCCCCCAACACACACACTGCCTATGCTCTTGATGAACACGGGTCCAAGGAGCCTGCATCCTACATGTCACTGCTGAGGAGGCCTTGGCGGCCCCCTCTCCTGTCGGGAAGACACCCCCTCCACCCTGTGCCCTCTCCCATCCACTCCCACTCCTCCCCTCTCTCCCCTACTGTTCCCTGCTTCTCACTCTCCCCTCATGCCTCCTTCCTTCCCTCCCCCTTTCTCTGCCCTGCTTCCCAGCAGGGCCCCCCTCATCTCAGCCCTGCTTGCCCCGTGCCCCAGTTGCCGGACGAGGGCAGGGTGGGCCAGCGACCAGCACCATGATGGGTAGTGTGACTTCTGCCCTGCCTCATGCCTGGCACACTTCTGGAGCGCTTCTTGCCAGTTCACCCCAGATTTAGATTTCAGGGGTGTGTGGGAGGACCCCCCGGCATTGTGAGAGTTCCTGAAACTCAGCAGGGAGCTGGGCTGGGTGGAGTCAGGTTCCCTTGCTCAGGGATGTGCCGGGGGCTTCGGGCACTCAGCTGCTGTTCATGCTCTGGCCCTGTCTTTCTGAGGAGCCCAGCCCCAGGCCCGAGTCTGGGTGCAGAGACTGCTGTGGGTCCCCATCTGCCATTTGGGACTAACTTTGCCGTGATTTCGGAGGGTGGCACAGCCCAGGCCACTGGGGGTTCAGGAGAAGAGAAGATTTTCAGCTACCCTGGAAGCTTGTTTCCCCTCCTGCCCCAGGGCTGCCAGCCTTTGGGGTTCCCCTCTGTCTCCCCCTGCTCCATGACCCTGCTGTCCCTGCATGCCTCCCATCTGCTTCTCGCATCGGTTCTCTGCAGGATGAAGAAGGAAGATGACTCCCTGACCATCTTCGGAGTGGCTGAGCGGGACCAGGGCAGCTACACCTGTGTGGCCAGCACTGAGCTGGACCAAGACCTGGCCAAGGCCTACCTCACTGTGCTAGGTAACTGCCGTGCCCGCTCCGGCCCGGCTGTCCCACGTCGCTCACTGGGGCCTGGCCTGGGCCTCCTCCCCTTAGGAAGGCTGGGAAGCTGCTCCTCTCAGAACGTGCCTGGACCACGTCACCTCCCGAGGGACACCACTCACTCGCCCGGAGTCTTCACTGAGAGGGCCCCCAAACAGTGGGAAAGTGAAAGGAGATTCTTTTTTCTGGTTTGTTGTTTTGGAGCCATTGGTGCTCGGGGGTCTTGCTCCTGGCTGAGGATCAAACCCAGGCCAGCTGCATGCAAGACAAGCACCCGACCCACTGTATTCTCCCACCAGTGCCCAGATGTTCTCACTGTGGTGAATTTCACCAAGTTTGCAGCTCACTCTAAACCCCTTAGTCGGTTAAAGGGTCTTCATCGAGGTGGGATTAAATTCTACGTTTCTCTCTTCAACAAGCTCTGTGAGCCTTCCTGCTGGGATTTCAGGGTTCTGGGCGCTAGCAAGGTGGCCCCATCCTGGCCAGGAGGGGAGGGGGAAACTGTGCCTCAGCCTAGCCCAGCCTTTCGGGTGGCGCTGCCCCTTCCCGTCCTTCTAGAACCAGTCTCCCGGCTAACATGCTAACCTGGATAACTGCTTCTGCCTTTGCAGCTGATCAGGCTACTCCAATTAACCGTTTGGCCGCCCTGCCCAAAGGTAATTCTTACTAATCATGGGACCCTCACTGAGCCTTGTCGGTGCCGGGAGAGTGGCGTGGAGGACAGGCCGTGCTGGGTGTGGGCACGTGGGTGGCACTGTCCGTCCTGCAGGCTGACTCATGCCCGGCCCTGTGCCGGGATCCCTATTCCTTCCGGTGAGCTCGGAAGCCTCATGGCATAGTCGCACCCAGCCCTCTCTCACATGCTCTCCTGTCTCTTGGGGTGACCCGCACTGTCCCCCCACTGGCTTGGAGTTGCTTCGGGGCACCTGTTACGCTCCTTTCCTGTCCTCCAGGCTGCTGTGGGACCCCTTCCTGCCCCACATGCCCCTTTAGGACCCTTCCGTCCTGTCCTGTATATGCAACTTTGGGACCTTCTTGTCCTGCCTCACCTGTGACGTGGGACCCTCCCATCCTGCCCCACACATGCGGTTGTGGGACCCCCTCTGCACCCTGTACATGTAGCCATGGGTCTTTCCCATCCTGTCCCATATGAGGGGGCTCGGGGTCTCAGGATGGGGAGCAGCTCAGCCTGTCCCCGCCAGCCAGGGGGCACTGATACCCCTAAAGAGCCCCCGGCAGTCTGGAGCCCCCACAAGGAGCCCACCCTACCTGCATTGGAAGCCTGCTGGGCCCCATATCTTCCATGGCCGCTGAAGACTGGGGTGGTCTCAGTGTGCCCACATCAGTGGGGCTGGTTCCTGCTCAGCGTGACCTGCCTGGGCCAGCGGCTCTAACTAGAAACTACCTGGTTTGTCACCCCCCAGGACGACCAGACCGACCGCGGGACCTGGAACTCACCGACCTGGCCGAGAGGAGCGTGCGGCTGACCTGGATCCCGGGGGACGACAACAATAGCCCCATCACAGGTCAGCAGGGGCCACCTGGGTGTTCAAACTTTGTGCAGGTTGCTGGCCCACCGTGCCGTCCAGAGTCCTGTGGTCTGGGCTGTTCACAGCTGGGCCCCAGCTTCCCTGTCAGTGTCTGCATGAGAATCCTCCCCCTGGCTCTGCCTGCCGGAGGGACAGAGGATATTGTCCTGTTGAATAGAAGCCACCGGGACCCACCAACCCGACTCCCACAGCGCCCTATCCTCCTTGCCCATTCAGACTATGTCGTCCAGTTTGAAGAAGACCAGTTCCAGCCGGGGGTCTGGCATGACCATTCCAAGGTCCCGGGCACTGTCAACTCAGCCGTCCTCCAGCTGTCTCCCTACGTTAACTACCAGTTCCGAGTCATCGCTGTCAACGAGGTCGGGAGCAGCCACCCAAGCCTCCCGTCGGAGCGCTACCGGACCAGCGGGGCAGGTGAGTGAAGGGGCTGACGAGTCTAACACCCTGAGCTGTGTGTCTCCCACCCCCACACCTCAGCCACCTGGATTTGGGCAAGTCATTCATCCTCTCCAAGGCCCAGCTCAGTTTGTGGCTTTTATGAGAATTGTAGCACTGTAGCACTGTCGTCCCGTTGTTCATTGATTTGCTCAAGCGGGCACCAGTAACATCTCCATTATGAGACTTGTTGTTACTGTTTTGGGCATATCGAGTACACCACGGGGAGCTTGCCAGGCTCTGCCGTGTGGACAGGATACTCTCAGTAGCTTGCCAGGCTCTCTGAGAGGGACAGAGGAATCGAATCCGGGTTGGCTATGTGCAAGGCAAATGCCCTACCCACTGTGCTATCGCTCCAGCCCACTTATGAGAATTATATTCCAAAATGCAATTACCACCAAGGCCTGGCTCCATGTTAACACCTATAATGTTACCTCACTGTGTCCCTGTGACAGACTTTAGTCCTAAGTCATAATGACCTGCCCTCATGGGATACGTGGTAACAAAGACATCATATCGTATTTTTTTCCCCTAATGCATCTGGGTAGTGTTTATGTTTCTGAAACCACACCAGCTCCTGAGGGCAGAAATTTTCCCTGAAGGACTCCGATGCCAGGGATAAGCAGGGTGGCACCAGACGTGTTTAGTACCCATCCACAGGAGAGACGAGCCACTTTGAGTGGGGTGTACTGCCCACTCAGCATGTGGAGAGCCACGCAGAGGAGGAATACTGCCTGTGAGGGGTTGAATCTCAGGAGAGGGGCTGGGACAGGACTCGGGGCAGGAGCATGTGCCTGCCTGCCAGAGTCCTGAGTTCAATCCCCGGTTCGCACCAAGCTGGGAAGTGGGCCCTGAGCACCTCCGCATATGCCCCCAAAATTAAACAAGCAGCCCCTTTGGGGGGGGGGTCGTGTAGCAGGGAAGGCGCATTAGACAGGAAGGGGTCGCCACATGGCTGCAGCTGCCACAGACTGGAGTTTGTGTGGGGATGATGAGGGAGAGAGCTGAAAGGAACCTTCAGGTCAGGGAGAGGCTGAACATGACCTGGGGAGGCACAGGTGGGCCTTGAACGTGTGTTCTTCTGTGTCCCAGCCCCGGAGTCCAACCCCACCGATGTGAAGGGAGAGGGGACTCGGAAGAACAACATGGAGATCACCTGGACGGTAAGGCCGCTTGGTACAGGGGGCAGCGGGCCGAGCTGGGGTCCCCTTGTTTCAGACTGGGGACAAGGGCAGAGATGATAGCTACATGGCAGAGGTGATGGCCACTGGCACACACCAGAGCAATCTTCAGAGAAAGATTCCTGGGACTGTTGAGGGTGTCAGCTGGAACCCCAGAGCTGCCCTTGACTGTGTTCTGGATCCCTCTGAGATCTCGGGGCCTGGGGAGGGACCCCATCTGAGATGACTGCAGTGTGGGCCCCCAGTCCAGTTGGGACATGGATTGAAGGATTCAAAAGTCTCCCTGCGGCCCGAGGTTGTAGCAGTCCCATCTTCACAGTGGCTTTCTGGTGTTATTCTAGGCCAGAATTAGGAGATGTGGTTCAAAATTACTTCTTCACTCTCCTTCCAAAGCTGAGATGCAGACTCAGCCCCAGTGAGCTTCCCAAGGAGATGGTAGGGGCCCCAGCAGTGTCTGCACTGCTGAGGGCCTGAACCCCCCTGAGTGGAGCAGGGCCCTTCCTGTAACAGCCTGGTTCTTGGTGAACAGCTCTGGTTGCAGGGGTGCCCAGGCACTGCCCTTAAGGCTGCAACATTGGCTGACCCCTACTGACCCTGTAAGACACACTTGTGTTGGGGATACCCCAAATCCACTCCAGCACGTTGAAAAGCTAGCATAGGTAGGCCATGGCTTGTATGACCCCCTGGGGTCATTGTTCTGTCTCAGCCACACTTTTTTGGTGTGACCCCGGTGCTTGACCCTGGGGAGATGCCCACTCCCTGTGCCCGAATGGGTGAGAGTGGTCCAGGTGACTTGACTTTGGACACAGGAAATCTCCACAGGAAGACACTTTACTGGGCCTCTGACCTTCTCTGGGGAGGGGATGTGCTCGCCACAACTCAGCACATCTCTGAACAGTGAGGGGCAGCTGGGGAAGGGGCCCGGCACAGATGGGCCGACCCCCACCTGCTCCCACTCCATCCCGTGCCTGTCTCTTCCGCCCAGCCCATGAACGCCACGTCCGCCTTCGGCCCCAATTTGCGCTACATTGTTAAGTGGCGACGGAGAGAGACTCGTGAGACCTGGCACAATGTCACCGTGTGGGGCTCCCGCTATGTGGTGGGGCAGACCCCAGTCTACGTGCCGTATGAGATCCGAGTTCAGGCCGAAAATGACTTTGGGAAGGGTCCTGAGCCAGACACGGTCATCGGCTACTCAGGAGAAGATTGTGAGTAACCCCGTCTGCCGCCACCCCACTGCCCCTCCAGGTTACACCCCCAGGTCTAGAAGGACAGAAAAATCCCACCATGATCTGGAGCAGGCAGGCCACAGAGAATGTGAGGGCAGAACTCTTCCCACCCATAAAACTCCATATCTATGATGTGACCCCCAGAGGGCCTTAGACCCAACATGTGACTCCCAAGGGCCTTAGACCCACCATGTGATGTCAAAGGGCCTTAGACCTACCATGTTATCCCTGAAGGGCTTTAGACCCACCATGTGACCCCCCGGAGGGCCTTAGACCCACCATGTGATGTCAGAGCACCTTAGACCCACAATGTGAGAGAGAGCAGATCTGTTCCCACCCAAATGTTCCTTGAACCATGAGCAGCCATGACTAGCCCAGCCCTCGTCTCTGTGCCTGGGAAGGGGCCCTGAGCGGGCCAGACCTCACCTGCACTGCAGCAGCAAACACTGAGCTTGAGGACCGAGCCCCAGTGTGTCTCCCTCACTGCGAGCTCTGAGAGAGAGCTCAGAACCCTTCACCCCGAAGAGCCGGGGAGACTCCAGCACAGGAAGCAGACCCACAAGACAGAGTTCAGCCCTGGTGGGGAGAGAAGGTGGTGGGCCCCTGAGTAGCAGGAAGTAGACCAACCGCTGTCAAGATTCCCCCGTGCTGCTCTCAGCCCTCGGAGTTACCATTCAACGGTTAAGGACTTGCCTTCTATGCAGCTCACCCCAGTTTGATCTCTGGCATTGCCTGTGGTCCCCCGACCACCACTAGGGGTGATCCCTGAGCACAGAGCCAGGGCTAATCTCTGGGCATAGCCAGGTGTGCCCCCAAGAGGAAAAAGAACTCGGGAGAGTGACCCCAGGCATGCCACTAGGATTCCGACCGTTCCTGGAAGTAAGTGCCTGGCATCTGGGATGTCACTCGCACCATCCCCAGCACATCCCCCAGGAGGCTGCTGTGCATAGCAGATTGTGCTTGTGCCTGGAGTTTGCTCCAGGCAGAGTTCATAGGGGTGATGCGGGGGACCAACAAGGTCACCAAGTCCACTGCTGGGGTCAGGAGCGCAAGGTTCCTGATAAAGCAATGGAAGAAAGTGAGGCTTGAGTCTGCACCCCACCTCCATTGAACCCGCTTGGCAGGGGGCAGCAGGGCGCTCACCCACCCTGCTGTGATCCCCTCTGTGGGCGGGAGACTGAAGGGAGGGTCCGCATGGAAGTGTGACCAGCAGCACCTGGTCAAGACCATTAGGGACTGGCCCCTAGTTTCCATTCCAGCCATCTACCCCGCCCCCCCAGAACGTGTTTGGGGGAATCCGAGGGGATGGTGGGGAGACTCTGTGGGGGGGTGCCGCGAACCACTGAACTGTGGTGGGGGGGACAGTGAGGCACCCCAATCAGTGAGGGTGACCTGGGGGAGGAGGGTCACCCCGTCATCTGCCTCTCCCGCCCTGAGGGAGCGTCTCCTCCGTGGACAACCCCCAACCTGTGGGGAGGTGGCATAACAGCGCAGGGCAGAGACGCAGCACACGAGGTGCTCTTTCCCCCATGTGGGCAGCCCTCCCACCTGGACACCTCTGTCGCCTCCTAAGCAGCCCCTTCAGGTAGCTCTGAGGGACCTGCTCTAGCCCTGCCCTCCAGGAATGCCCTGGGTGCGGGGTCCAGGGTGGGTGGGGATCCTGGCTCCAGAGGACGCGGGGGCCTGGCGTGCAGGGGCCAGCCTGCCTGCGTAACCAGAGCTCTGTCCCCACACCTTACAGATCCCAGGGCTGCTCCCACTGATGTTAAAATCCGGGTCCTCAACAGCACAGCCATCAGCCTGCAGTGGAACCGCGTCTACTCCGACACGGTCCAGGGCCAGCTCAGGGAGTACCGAGTGAGGAAGCCAGTCCATGCCCACCTAACCACCCGGCTCACTAACCGGGGCAAGGGGGTGCCAAGGGTGGGCAAGGGGAGACCGGAAAGAATCCTGGGGGTCTCCGTTAGATTCCAGAGTGGATTCAGGAAGATAATGTCTAGGATTCATTTATATATGTATATAAATCCCAGAATCCTAGACATTTTAGAATCAGAGACACATGCATCTAAATACACATGCGTGTATATACACACTAGGATTCATATATATAATAATTGCTAGACATTATAGAATCTTAGACACATATACATACACATATACATGTATACACACTAGAATTTATGTATAGTTCCTAGACATTGTAGAATCCTGGGCTCACATACATGAATCCAAACATTACAGAATCTTAGACACATACATATATACACAGTATAATTCATATGCATATAGGGATTCCTAAACATTACAGAATCCTAGACAAGCACACACTATCATTCATATATATGTATAAATATATATATAAAATGAATCCTAGATATTAGACAGACACGCACACAGTTGTGTCCTGCAGAAGATCTGTGGAGCTCTGTGTGGAATGGGAGGTATCATGCAGTGCACTGTGGGCTGCACGTGGGAGGGACACATGTCCCTTTAAAGCAGGGTTGAGGCACCGCTGAGCCACACCCCACACTCTCCTAATGGTTCCCGCCACCTGCTTGCTTCACCCAGTCTGACTTCATGAAGCCCCAGCTAACAGGCAGGGCCACGGGAGGGTGCCAGCTTGCCCCCTGGCACTTGCTGCACCCACTGTCCAGCACTGAATTCTCCAGGCTCTCCTGCCAGGAACAGGTTCCTCTTAGAGGCTGTTCCTGCTCGGAAGAGGCTGCTGAGCCGTGGCAGGACACACGGCGAGGCGCTCGGGGCCCAGCTCTCTGAGGAGTTGTCTGGGAAGAAGGGAGTTTGTAGCTTTGGACCACACAGGCCCCGGCACCTCAGAGGTCACAAAAATGGGGTAGAGAGAGAGCCAGAACGGGGCTGGAGAGGCCAGTTTCTTCTTGGGAAATGAGTCTGACAAGAAGGAGAAGGAGGAATGGAGAGACAGTTCAATGGGCCAGAGGTCACCTGTGTGTGCGGGAGGCCCAGGGTCCATCTCCAGCACCACATGCTTCCCTGGGCACCACTAGGAGTAGCCGCCGAGCACCTCCAGGTATGGCCTCCAAACAAAAACAGAAAGAAGGAGGAGGAGGCAGAGGGTGGACATACTTGAGCCAACTCTTTCGTGCTGTTACAGGCTGATCAGTGGTGGTTCTGGCTAAACTCCCAGGGGTCCCCTTTAAGTCTGAACTTCCTCCATTATGGAGGCCTGGGTGACACTGGCTTGGAGATTCCCCAGCTGTTGAGGTCACAGTCTCTCCTCTGCTGGGGACAAAAACCACCTTCCGTAGACCAAGGCCTTGCACCTTGGTCTGGGCACCATTCCCCTCCTATCCAAAGTTCTGCCCACAATCTTCAAAAAATAAACCAAAAAAATAAAGCACAACAAAAACCAAAAACCATTTGGGTCCAAGAGAATCAAGCAGCTTTCTCACGTTCAGACTCCTGGGGTCAGCCGCTCCTGCTCATTTCCCGTCTGCTGCCGAGCTAAACTGTACTAATGCAAGTCAAGGTGACACCGCCCGCCTCTGCGCGCAGAGCACAGCTGCCCGTGGCTGGACCCTGGCTCCTGTGTGTGCTCCTGGCCCAGACTCCCCGAGAGACTGTCCCCCCTGCGGGACCCTCCATCTCAGGGTGGAAGTTTGGCCCACTTCCCTGTTCCCCAGACAAAGAGACATGGCTCGGGATATGCCGGAACCACAAATTCTGATTTGGCATCCGTCCTCACTAGCGGCTAGCAAAGGGGACACTGGGTCCACTCCGTGGGCCTCTCTGTGCCTGAGGAGGGATTCGGGGCCTGTGACAAGCAAGGGAAGACCAGTCACCAGCAGCACCACTAACCACTAACCCGGCCCTGCCGGCTACCCCTCACGGCTGCCTCTGTCCTGAAGGCCTACTACTGGAGGGAGAGCAGCTTGCTGAAGAACCTGTGGGTGTCTCAGAAGAGACAGCAAGCCAGCTTCCCCGGTGACCGCCCCCGCGGCACGGTGTCCCGCCTCTTCCCCTACAGCAACTACAAGCTGGAGATGGTTGTGGTCAATGGCCGAGGCGATGGGCCTCGCAGTGAGACCAAGGAGTTCACCACCCCCGAAGGAGGTAGGTGCGGCCACAGCTCCCGGGGGGGGCAAGACAAGGGGACGGCCCGGACAGCGCCCACTCACCCCCGCGTGGCCTCCAGGAGTGGATGATTCTGAGCTCAAGGGCTCCAGCGTTGGTTTGCACAGAGCACCCAGCCACCGGGGGACCCCTGTCCACCAGCAGGGGGAACCTCAGAAGACCGGAGCTGACCAGATTCCAGAAGGGCTCTGCAGACCCACCGCTGGGCACTGCAGGGACAGCCCCAGCCACCACCTCCAGAGGCGGACACGGCCCCTGGCTTCTTACCAGGACGGCTGGTTCATGCCAGCACCGTGAACCTTCCACACACTCTTGTCCCGGGACTCCAGAGCTTTGATGGATCCGTGGGCCAGTGGGCCTGAGCCTGCCACATTCCCAACTCCTCTTTTTTCTTCTTTCCTCCCTTCACTTCTTCCTCAGCTCCTCTGTCTCATCATCTATTTCTGTCTTTCCCTCCCTCTCACTGGGGTCTCTTCAGCCTCTCCCCTTCACTCCCACCTCTCAAATCCCACTATTCTCATCCTGAACACAGCCAGCTCAGCTCTGAGGTCTGGGCCCACTGCTTGGACCTAGCAGTGAAGCGCCCAGTTGAGGCCCATCCATCCTAGTCACTTCCATCCTAGGACCAGCTCAGGATCTTGTGGGGTGTCCTACAACCAGCTCAGGGCCTTGTGGGGTGTCCTACAATCAGTTCAGGGCCTTGTGGGGAGTCCTACAACCTCACGAGCCCCTCTGTTGCCTGATTTATGGAGCCCCCAGTCCTGCCCCCTTAAACAGCTGAACCTGTTTCCTCAGCCCAGCGCAGCCTGCATGGGGGTGTGGCTCTCCAGGGGGCTGCCTGGGGACAGTGCTTTCATCGTGCTTTATTTCTTGTGTTTCCCTCCACCTACCCACCCTGTCCCTCTCGCCCCTTCTCCCCCAACTCTCCCCTCCTTCCCCAAGTACCCAGTGCCCCCAGGCGTTTCCGAGTCCGGCAGCCCAACCCGGAGACCATCCACCTGGAGTGGGACCATCCGGAGCACCCCAATGGCATCGTGATCGGATACACTCTGAAATACGTGCCCTGTACGTTCTGCCTTCTCCCGCCCGGGTACCCTGGGGAACAGAAACCCCAATCCTCCCGAGGAGCAGAGGTAGACAGTCTGGGGGTGCCGAGACGAGGGGAGGGTCTGTCACAAAGTGCCCCCAGGATGAGAGGAGGCAGATGAGCCCCAATTCCTGCTCGTATGACGCAGCCCAGAAACTTCCACATTCTGCGGTCTCCCGCCCTTGGGGTTCTTAGCGACTCCCACACCTACCTGTGGAGGGGAGTCTGCCACGGTTGACAGCATGTGGGTGAACACACATCCACAGGACATGCATTCAGGGGACAGGCTTCTGTGGGACACTGGGGAACAGCTTGGTCAGGTGTCCTGGAAGGTTCGGAGTGTCCGGAACCTGGACCACTGGAACACTGCCTGCTGACATCACTGGCAGAGCCAGGAACACCTTGAGATTTGAAGCCTCTTGAAGTCAGGGCTGCTGTACCTCCTGGGAAGGCTCAGAGGCCAGGTGTCATGCAGTAGCCAGCTGTGTGCATTTGTGCTGCTCTGTGCTGACCCGGGCCTGGCCTTCCCCTGGAAGACAGCCAGTAGGCCTTTGTACACGGGGGCATTAACTCCCCGAAGCTCCCGAGGTTCCGTGTGAGAGAATGAAAGGAACTTGGGCATCTTGTCCGGCTGGGAGCTATAGGGACTGGACTGTAAACAGTCTTTCCGGGTGGGCCGTCCATTAGCGAGAAGGGGCCAGCGAAAGGAGCTCTAGCCCCAAAAAGCCAGAAGGCAGGGTGCCACATGCAGGCCTGGTCCCACAGCGGGGACAGCAGGTCTCTCCTCCAGTGGACAGTGAAGCCCATCTGCATTGCTAATGTCCGTTCCTCCGGCCTGTCTCTCTGCAGTTAACGGGACCAAAGTGGGGAAGCAGGTGGTGGAGACCTTCTCTCCCAACCAGACCAAGTTCACAGTGCAGAGGGCAGACCCCGTGTCCCGCTACCGCTTTTCGCTCAGTGCCAGGACGCAGGTGGGCTCCGGGGAGGCTGCCACTGAGGAGTCCCCAGCCTCCCCGAACGAAGGTCAGTGCTGCAGCCGCCATGGGGATCAGATAGGCTGGGTGAACGCAGAGATCTAGAGACATGGTGTCTGGGCATCCTTGCTCCCGAGGCCACTTTCTGGGGCTGTGCAGACCCTGGAGCACCCTTCCCCACCTCATCCACCATAACCCTATGGGATCAGGTCCTCTGGGTGCTGGGCAGACAAGCCGGCAATGTGTGCTGCTTTGGATCCCGGTCGCCACAGGACGGCATTCCCCTCTCCTGTGGGGAGCCAGGCACCTAGTGACAGCGAGATGAGGAAAAGCACACTGGGAGTGGACACGTCCACCAGCACCAAAGACCAGCGACAGCCTCACTTAGCTGGAGAGGCAAGGCTGCTTTGCCCTGGGGGGAGGGGAGGGGAGGGGTCTGGCTCATCCCCTCTTTTCCCACAGCTTACAAAGCTGATAAGCAGGGAGATGTGCTGAGATTGGAACCCCCTGCAAGGAGGATGAGGGCTGTAGCTTGAGTTTGCCAGTTGTCGGAGCTGTCGAGCTGTGATGGGAAGGGGAGGTGCAAAGTCCTTAGCATCTCCCATCTGTCAAGCCCGAGAGGCGCCTCTTGAGAGCTCCACAAGGGGGAGCTCCAGGCCTACTTGCTTTGTAAAGGCTTCCGGGACCCTCTCCGGGAGACCGTCTGGGACCTTGTAGACCATCTAGGGTTCATCTGTCCATTTCCCAAGCAACCACCATAGCGTGCCAGACGACACTTCCATAGGCAGGTTAGGAAGGGAGTTACAAGTAGCCGCTTCCTCCAGGCAGCCGGGAAGGTAGGGCTCAGGTACAGAGAGCAAGGCTGTGTATGCCCCAACAGAGGCTGGTCTGTCCGCAAGGAAGTTGTGTTCTAAGGCCAATCCCCCAGCTCCCTCCCCCCAGTGCTCTGTGTCCTGCAGCCGCACCTGGCTGGAAGGGCCTCTCCCTCTGCAGGAGAGCCCCAGCCGGGCACCCACGGTAAGTCCAGCTCCAGGAGCGGCTTGCCTTTGCCCTGGCCCTTGCCACCAGAGAAGCCTTCAGGCCGCGCTGATCCGAGAGAGCAGGAGGAAGGATGCTCTGACCCCCTTCTCCCTGTATCTCGGCCATTGTTCAGCCCCCTGCACAGTTGACCGCGCCTGGCAGACCTTTGGAGACGTGGCCACCATATTCGCCTTTTCTCGAAGGCCAGGCAGTGCTGGTGTCACCCTCTCGAGCATTTCATGCCATGGAGGGTACAAGAAAGGGCCTCTTTTCTCGCCACATCTGTGCCCTGACACTGACCACCATAGAAACAAAGCCCTGTTGTCCAGCTCCAGAGGCCACCCAGGGAAAGTTCGGTGGCCCCAGAAACGGGACAAAAGAGACCTTCTTCTCCACTTCGGGCTTTGCAGCAAATTCAGGGGTCCTTCCAGGGTGCCCCCGCCGTTGAGTTTCTTACTTCATCCAGTACAGCTGGTGGCGAGCACGGTGCCTTGTCCCAGGCTGAGACGGGGCCGGGTGGGGTCTGCCACCTCAGCCCCATTCCTCACGCCCAGCAGCTTCTCCAGGGTAAAGAGGTCACCCCTTTGCCCCAGGGGGGCATCCCCACTCTAGTCCACTACAGCACATGCCTCCGGGGGCACCTGCCTGCTTGGCGAAGTCCAGCCCAGCCAGGCAGGCCCTGTGATGGGAGAACGGGCCTCTGCCAGGGCGCGGTTGAGGGGGTGTGGGGGTAAAGCCGCTTAGAAGGTCTGCAGGGCCCAGGGTTTCAGTAAAACCATGCCGTGCCCCAGGGCTGCTGAAATGACCCCTGAACACCAGTTGGCATTCTTGGGGGAGGTGGCCAGCACCTTGTCAGGCTACAACCAGAAACTTCGCGCGTGCCGGGCCCGTGGTTTCACCTGTGCTCTCTCTTCTCTTCTTCCCTCTCATCCTTTCTTCCTCGCCATCTTGGGGGCTGTTCTGAAGCTACTCCAACCGCAGGTACCGTACCAGCAGCGGAGGTAATGGGCACGCCGCGGGGCAGTGCAGGCAGGGCCCGCCGGGGCAGGGCGGGGACGGAGCGGGCGGCTCGGGATGGAGCATGCCGGACTCCCCCTTTCAGCGGCGGTGGGCTGCCGCAGAGAGCGGACACCCCCTTTTCCCGTCTTGCTGACGGGGGCTCTGTCACAGGCTGCCGTCCCTGAAAGGGAGCAGTCCAGGGTGAGCTGCTGTGCATGGGGGGCCCCCCGCATGCTGCATATGGGCATCTGCTCTGCCACCGGCCCTGGGCCCCGGTCGGCGAGGACCACTCGACAGCCTGGGCTTGTTGAGTCCAGCTGTTCCAGGGCCTGGAGCCCTGTGCATGCCTTGGTTGAGGCCCCCACAGCTCGTGGGAAACTGGGCTCTGCAGTTGAGAACAGTGTCCACTCCTGGGTGTGGGAGGTAGATGTCCTTTTGGCGTGAAGCTGGGCAGGCGGACCCTGGCTCCAGAGACCCCATCAGTGCTGTGGGTTGGAGGAGCACCGAAGGGTGCTTGACTACTTGAGTCGGTCCCCAGGCCGGGAACCCTGGGGCACCTTGCCCTGCTGTCTTCTGTCCCTGTGGTCACTGAGAGCAGGGTTATCCTGGCAGTTCAGAGACTGTGGCAAGGGGCCTCCTGCAACCACCACCAAGATCCAGGCTGCAGGGGAGATGGGAGGGGGGAGGCCTTGCCCACTGGTCTCCTGCCTTCGCTTAGTTGCCTCCCTGCCCCCCTCAGGTTCTATTTCTGTTGCACCCGCCGCCTCCTGCTCATTCCGTTTGCCCGTCGGAGCCGTGGGTGCTGTGGCACCCTCCTTCCCACCCCTGCTCCTCTCCATCCCTCTCCCACTAATCCAGGGGAGTCCGGCCCCCCGGCAGGCTCTGAACTCCACTCCGGGCAGCAGAAGGATGTGAGGACTGGGGAGGAAGGGGGGGCCGTGTGGGTGCGGGTCACATGGCCTGGGCTGGGGTAGCTGGTGCTCCTGGAGCACAGCAGGTGACGGGGAAGGAGCCAGAGAACCTGGGGCAAGCTCCTTGGCCGGAGCCCCTCTGCCCACGCCTCCCCACCCCCCAGTTCTGGCACCCCAGGACGTGAAGCAGGTGGGCCTGGTGGCAGGGAGCCAGCCTTGACCAGGGGAATCTCTGCCAGTCGGCGCAGAGCTGTAGCCAGGACAAGGGCATGAATCCCAGCACCCACTTCCTGCTCCCCTTTTAGGGAAGGGTCTGGCCCCATCTTCTGTATAGAGCATGCCACAGGGGCAACTGTGTCCCCGTCCCGTTTCTGACGTAGCCTGGTTCTCACTGCTCTCTCCCCAAGTCCTTCTCTCCAAACTTGGGCATTTCCTCCAAGACAGGTCTGTTCCTGGGAACAGCATCCCCTCTCGGGTGTGTGTGTGTGTGTGTGTGTGTGTGTGTGTGTGTGTGGCAAAGCCATGGTCCCAGGCTGGCTGCCCATCTGCCCAGGCCATCTGGGATCGCCCAGTCGTCCGTGTGCCATGTGGACATTTTTGGACTGCACCCTCCACCTGGGAATGTCTGGAGCCGCCGTGCTAGGACTCACTGCACCCTTCAAATGTGGGCCAGCTCCAGCAGATCCTGGAGGCGGGAGGGATGAAGCTTGTACCTTCCCCTACTCTCTCCATCTCCCTCTGGGGTGCTCCCGAATCATGGAAACCCCTCTGTCGGCCGGGATCCCCTCCGGCGGGCAGCCGACCACAGTGACTGCTGCTGCCTCCAGGGAGGACTCCTGTGTTCCAGCTCAGGTCAAGGCTCCCTGACTTCCTCCCCCAAAAAGCTCCCTCATTGCCATTGTTGAGGCTGGAGGGTCTATCCTCAGTTCTGACAGGGGTGGTTCTCCAGCCCACAGTTTCCCCTGCAAGGGACAGGAGGGGACAACATGGCCCAGCAGTGTCTGTCCAGGCTGGGGCAATGCCAGGTAGAACCCCACCTCTGGACCTTCGTCCCCTTGCAGCCTCACCCTGGCCTCGAGGCCAGCATGGGCCCATCACATCCCACTGACCTGTGCGCCACCCAACCCGTCCCAGCTTCTAATGACTCACTCCCCTTTCTCAGAGCTCCCCCTTCTGTGCTCTCGGCCTGTCCAGCTCCATGACAGTGGCCACAGCCGTGGTGAGTGTGAATTGCTGGCTGGGACCTCAGCCAGCCACGGCCAGCTGCACTCTCCCCTTGAGGGATGTGGAGGAAGCACCTTCCTCTCCCTCCTGCCGTGTCCCCCTCACCAGCTCCTAAGGCTTGCCCCACTCCGAGGAAAGGAAGCAAAGGGGGCCATCGCAGAGAGAAGCGCTTCCTTCCTGTCCTGAATTGTTGCTTGACTGCGTGCTCCCTTGGCCAATTCTCACCTGTCCACACCAGCATGCTGGGAGCCTCTCTCTAGCCCGATCCCTTGATTTCTTCCTTCTCGCAGGGCCACAGATGTGGGCTGGTCCCTGGCAAATGTGAGGGGGGCATCTCTGCTGTGCGAGGGACCAAGGGGCCACGTGGGGGTGAGGGTGGTGTGTATCACTGAGGAAAGCCAGCATTGACTAGGGAAGGGAAGGACACGCTATGCCAAGGAAGGGAGGTGGAACCTCTGCCCTCCGCATCGGGGTGTTGGGTCTCCGAGTGCTCTTGACCTTGACGATGCCTCCCAAATAGCAAGGGGAAAAGGGAACTATGAAAGCGTTGGATAAGGAATAAAGCAGAGCCACCTGTGCAGTGGACACGGTGTCCTGTCCTGTTCCTCACAGTGGCACAGAGCAGAGACAAGGGCCCCCCTGTGTGTGTGTGTGTGTGTTTGTGTGTGTATGTGTGTGTGTGTCCAAGGTAGTAGAGCCCATCTGAGTGGAGGACATGGGGGTTGGGGGAGTGCAGTGGACACAACTTCTCTGGCACCGAGCTTACCCCAGGCCTGGCCACGGTGGCCTGAATACACCCGGGATAGTGCCCGTGCGGGGACAGCCCTATATGGCCTGGCATCTTTAATTGACTGGGCATTGGGAAGTGGCCCAGCCCACTTGGGCCTTGCCTAGGAATCCCCAGAATACTGCCTGCTGTGCTCCTGCGGTCAGCACCCTTGGCCCAGCAACGCCTTTGATCTCACAGGGAACGAACAGCAGGGAAAACTCAGGGAGATGCCCTCGTCCCTTGGGGGGACCGTGGGGCAGGCCTCCATGAGACTTGAGGCCCCACGGAATGACCGTGCTGTGTCTGTGCTGTAGTTTCTCATTCCCCCAAGTTAAGCCACCTGCCTGGCACCCCACCCGGTTACCTACTGGCAGGGATGAGGGATGGTAAATAACATCCCGAACTTTCGGAGATCTGCAGAGGATGGTTTATCCCTATTCGTTGAACGTTATCTGCTTATGTCTTCAAGTTCCTGCCAGCCTGTTAGCGTTGGCACTGGACAATGGACCGAGTTTATACCACAGGAGGTGAAATGCAGGGAGGCACTCTCTGTCTCTCTGTCTCGGTCTCTCTGTCTCTATCTCTCTCTGTCTGTCTCTCTCTGTGTCTCTATCTCTCTGTCTCTGTCTCTTTTTATCTCCCTGTCTCTGTCTGTCTGTCTCTGTCTCTCTGTCTCTGTCTCTCTCTCTGTCTCTATCTCCTCCCTGTCTCTGTCTATCTTTGTCTCTCTCTGTCTTTCTGTCTCTGTCTCTCTTTTTTATCTCCCTCTCTCTGTCTCTATCTCTCTGTCTCTGTCTCTATCTCTCTGTCTCTCTTTATCTCCCTTTCTTTGTCTCTCTCTATCTCTGTCTCTCTGTCAGTCTCTGTCTTTCTGTCTGTCTGTCTGTCTGTCTCTCTCTCTCTCTCTCTCTCTCCCCTCATTCTCACTCTGTCAGCTTTAGCAAATATCGGGACTAGACCGAAAGGCCCAGGGAGCCTTCTGGAAAAGAAAGTTGGTCATAACGGAGTGCGTAGCGGAAGCCCACCCCGCACCCCCTGCCTCAGAGGCAACTTTGGGTGGGAGAGAAGCAGCGAGCGTTAGCCCCGATGTGAAAGGGAGGCTCACGTGGGAAAGATCCAGGCGTGCGCATGACTCAGTCCGGTTCCCTGCGGGCTGAGCGCAGAGCGCCCGCTGCCAGCATCAGCCTCTTCCTCGGCTTGAGGCTCGCACGCAGAGAGAAAGGACTTGCCTCCCTGGCTCTGTGCGTCCTGCAGAAAGGAGGCCGAGTGGGAGGGAGCGATGGCAGGAAACCAACAAGAACTGAGAAGGGGCCAGGGCGGCACCGAGGGCGGGTGGGGACCGTTGCCCCCTTCAGCCTGGGCCTTGCAGGGGCTCGGGAAGGTTGACGAGTGCTGCTTGGCGACACGCAAGGTCGTGGTGGGCCTCCCAGGGCTCCTGCAGCTCCTGGACTGGCCGTCTGGGCCCCTCCGAGGCCCCACTCCTGGGGCCTCCACGCCTGCCTGGGGTCCCAGCACGGTGGCGCGCGCCTTCCCCCCCACCCCCCCATCCCGCCCTGCTTGGGTGCATGCGGTGCTTCCCGCCACACAGCCACAAGAAGAAAATAAAACCCGCCTTGCTTCATTCTCTTCCGTGCTCGTGGCTGCGTGCTCCCCGGACAGTCCGCGGCCTAGTCGCTCCTGCCCGGGCGGCTTCCAGCCCCTCCGCTTCCTGTCTTCCCAGGGCTGCCTGCCATGCGCGGGAGCCGCGTGTCCAAATTAACCGGACCAGGCTGTTTTGCGTTTCCCTCTCAGCTCCTCCCACCTTACCCCCGACTACCCCTGGTGCCACGGGCACCCTGAGCAGTACTGACGCTACTGCCACTGCCACCACTGCCGCCACCACCACTGAGGCCACCACAGTCCCCGTCGTCCCAACCGTCGCACCTACCATCGCCGCCACCACCGCCGCCGCTACCACCACCACCACCACCACCACCACCACCACGGAGACGCCTCCCTCCACCACCAGGACTGAGATACACGAACCTGGTACTGCCGCGTCCAGCTGCCTGCCCCTCTGGCCTGCCCTGGCAGGAGCGGGCGGGATGGGTACTCTCCCCCCCACACACACACCTCTCTTTCTGCTGCCCTGGAAACTCAGACATGACAAAGTCTGTCTGGCAGCCTGGAGGCACAGAGCCCCCCACCCCCAGCCCCTCTCCCTGGGTGGGTCTCTACCCTCTCCTTCCTTGATCTTGGACTGAGGTCTGCACCCTCAGACAGAATCCTAGGGCCCGGGTGACAGGCAGGCCTGCCTCCCTTCCATGCAGGGCAGTTGGCTGGGGACTGAGCATTCCAAGGAAGAATGGCAGTGGGGAGGTGTGCAGAGGGGCTGCTCTTGGCAGCTGCTCCCGTCACCCTGTCCCTCTCTAAAGGTGCTGCAGACTTTGCCTGCAGAGCTGGGGGGGTTCCAGGAAACGGCCTTTCAGGGAACCTGGAGGTGCTCTCTGCTCTTCCCACTCATGTTCCCCGCCCCCAGGCACACTCACGAAGGGAAAATTGCATCTTTTGGGGGCTCCTATAAGAATCCACCCCAGGGCTGCCTGTCTCCTGCAGCCAGCCCAGGAAAATCTGTTCTTCCAGCAAGAGCAGACACGCTCAGCAACCCGGCACCCCAAGGAACTGAGAGTCCTAGCCCCCAGGCAGGGGGCCTCTGGCCTGCAGTGCTCGCGGGCCACTGTCAGCCCTACAGGGCTGTGGACATGGAGCCTTTCCTGCTCGGGTCAGGTCCCCATAGCTTTTGCCCGGCTACTCTCAGCAGAGGTTGCCCTCTGTGCATGACGGTGGAGCTTGTGTTCTGTGGGTGTCCTTTCTGCAGTCGTGGCAGTAGTGGGCGTGAAGGGGAGACTGAGAGATGCTCGCAGCTGTCAGACCTGGGAAATGCAGGTACAGTGTCTAAATTCAACAGTGTGCCCTTGAGGGAGAGAAAGCTGCCCTCCACAGCTTGGGATGGGCATTCTCTGCGGTCACTCAAGGTGTCTTGTGCACTGAAATGGAGCAGTGTCCCACTTTAATTCCGGCTCGGAGGGATATGGAAAGGAAGAAAGGAGATGCCCCCTCCCCATCTAGACTCAGTTTCCCAGGAGATATGGCCTTATTCTCACAGGGATTGGATCCTGGTCCAGACTCCATGTACTGGTTGCCATGACAACACAAAGGCCGGCCTGCCATGTCTCTAGTCTTAGCTTGTAGCTGGAGGCACCACTAACATCCCCACTGCCCCTATCCTGGTAGAATGATCTTGTATGGCAATCATATCCTTTGCATCTCAATCCTGACTTACATCTTAGGACAGAATGTTTCATAAGTTGACTTCCTTAGGGATGAAAGAGGGCTTTGCATCTCTTCTTACCTTTTCTCTTTCCATTTCAAGGGCCCCCTGTTAGCAGGACTCCTTCTGCAGCCCTCCACCACCCTGGCAATTTCTCTGTCTGGGAGCGCTCTCCTGCCTTGGCCCTCTCTGAATATGTCCTGTCCCCAGTGGCCATCCTCTGACCCCACTCTGTGGCCATGCCGGCCTCCGACTGCCTCCCCCAGGTTGTTGGGATATCCCATTACTTGACTTTTCTCCTAGCTCTTAAGATGTTCATTCTGATAGCCCAATGTTGTGCGAAGGCCAGATTCTTTATTTCCAGGGTCCAGCAGACGGGAATCAGAAAATCAGTCCCCAAATCATGACTGATCACCACCAGTTCTCACTGTCAGAGCCCAAGGAGCTGGTTGGGGTGGCTTAAAACTCTGCTGCTGTCCCATTGGAGAATGCAGTGGGTCTCGGGCTGGCCTCTCCCCTAGTAAGAACCCAGCAACAGCTAATACATTAGTAGAGAAAGCATCGCTTTGAAGTCAGGATGAGGAGATCTTTTATCCCTCCCAGCCCTGCAGACACAGGCACATGTCAGATGCATAATGAATAAATTCAGCCCCAACGTACTCCAGTCATTTATTTTTGACGAGTGAGTTGGTGACAAGGGCCCCCTGGCATGTTAATAAAATATACAAAAGCCATACTGGCACTGTCTTTGAAATCCAAGACTTGATGTAGTATTCCACTATTAAATCTTTGTGGGAAATGGATTAATCAGACTGCTGGGACTCTTGGAAAATGATAGCTTTTGAAGATTTAGTGCCATTCTCTTGTCCACGGGCAATGGTTTCAGACACCATAGCCTTGATGAAGTGTCTCCCAGCTACTAGTAGGGACTCAGTAATGAATGGCTTCTGCGTGCTGTCCAGTCCCCAAGACTGGTTCCAAGGAGCCAATAGAACCAGATTCTTCTGTGTCTGGGTCACTGCTCTGCTTGGGCTTCCTGGCCCCAAATCCCCTTTAGATGAGTGATCCCAGGTCATCCTCCACACGAGGCGGGTCTTTCTGACCAAACGTGACCCCAGGGACCCCTCAGAGTGATTCCAGTGAGATCCTTTCTGCTTCAGTTTTGGGAGCCCCTTGAGACTTTGCCAAGCATGAGTCTATTCTGGCTACTTCCGGCCTCTCCGGTGCCCTCCCTGCAGGGCATCTGTAGTTGAGATCTCTCCCATCTGTGTGCTGATGGTGGGGCCCTCCAGCCCGCTCTTGTTGCAGTTCAAATCCAGAACAGGGGATGGGTCCAGGAAGGAGCCCAGTCAGGGCCCAGTGCAGCCCCCCACGCCCACTCTTGCCTCCCTGCCCCCCACCCCTGTGTGGACGGTCACCAGGTCCACCCGACACACCTGCTTCTGTCCCACCAGTGGGCTTTGGCCTGGCCCCTGACACAGCGTGGAGCTCAGTCAGGTCCCCTGCCCACCCCTTTCCCGTCTGTGTGTGTCTGTCTGTCCTCAGCGCTGCCTGCCTCCTCACCACTAACTCCTCTTCTAACCTACTCACCAGCCCCCGACGAACAGTCCATATGGAACGTCACGGTGCTCCCCAACAGTAAATGGGCCAACATCACGTGGAAGCACAATTTCGGGCCCGGAACTGACTTTGTGGTTGAGTACATTGACAGTAAGCATTGCTGTGCGGGTGGTGGTGGCGGTGCAGCGGGTCGGGGAGCAGCCCTTCCCGAGACCCCGTGAGCCCCCACGCTCTCCCCCCCCCCACACACACTCAAAGCGGGGCTGGCTCACGGGGATGGAAGCGGCGCCGTAAAGCCAGTAGATTAGGGCTGACCGTGGTGGGGAGCACTGGGGGCTAAGCGGCCTCCGTGTCCTGCTCGGGAGGAGGGCTCAGAGTAGACCCCAGGCCGGGCTGTGGCTCTATGGTGTCTGCGCATGCCTGGCATTCCTGAGGCCTGGGTTCGACACCCCCCCCCCCGCCCCCGGCACTGAAAAAGAAACAGTGACATCAGTTAAAACAGCTCCCAGCTGGCCCGGATTCCCCTCTGTAGGGATCTCCACTCCACTTGTGCTTTCCTACGCCTCCACTGGACATGGGGACCCTGTGTCCAGAACTAGGGAACAGCGTTGCTTTGTTCCCAGGGACGGCTGTGATCCACATTTCCAACACAGCCCCGGGGCCCTGGTCTGAGAGCCAGCGGCTTGAGGTGAGCTGCTTTGGCACTTCTGGATTTAGGGAACCAACCAGGCTCAGGCCCACTGGATGGCGGAATGGGCAGCCGCCTCCTTCTCATGACCCCTGTCCCTGTCCTGAGAGCTTCAGCCCACAGCGCTGTGGTGAGCATTTCAGCCAACACACTGGCAGGAGACCCGCCCCGCCAGCCCCTTGACCGTCCTGCAGAGCGGTTGGCCAGCTCTTGGCTCTCCATGCTTGAGGGGCTTCGTACCCTTAAGAACTCCCACCCCTGGTTGCCCTTTGGCCCCACAGTGGCGTTTGCTTTCCCGGGCTGTGAATTAACCGCCTGGCAGCAGTGGGTAAGCGGGAACCAGAACCAGAACAGGGCACCAAGAAGCAGCTCCATCCCAGCTAGAGAGAAGTGCCTGTCTACACTCTTGCCCTCATGAGGACGGGGCGAGTGCCTGTGTGAGGAGCGTTCATAAAACGCGGGCACAGGCACGGCGGCCAAGTCAGCCAGGACCGAAAGCGTGGGGGAAGTGGGCCCTGTGTGCCCTCTGCCCCTGCCCCCATGCTTCTGCCTTCAACAGGTGCCCAGGAACCTAAGCGCTGCCTCTCCAGCTCCCGGGCCTGCCTCTAGGCTGACTGAGGTTTCTGTCCCCAGGCAACCATACGAAAAAAACTGTCGCTGTTAAGGCGCAGGCCCAGCCTATACAGCTAACAGACCTCTTTCCCGGGATGACGTACACGTTGCGAGTTTATCCCCGGGACAACGAGGGCATCAGCAGTACCATCATCACCTTTATGACCAGTACAGGTGAGAGGGGACCTGGCTTAGCCATCCCCTACAAGCATGGGGCACTTCATTCTCATTCCCAGCTCCCTGCTTGTCTCTTCTCGGAATGAGGACTGGTCCCTGGCCCCAGCTTGCATGGCGTGCCTCAGCTCCCAGGAGGCCAAGAGGAGCCCAAGGTGCATGCACAGTGGAGAGGACCCCCAACCCATCCTCATGGGGCTCAGGAGGAAGCGGAGGTCCTGGGACCAGGACAGGGGAGTCCACGGTCTCCCCACCCCGTGCTGGAAACTGAAGGCTGGGTGCGTGGACGCACATGCTTCCTCCAGGTGGGGTCAGAGGATAGGAGCCTCCCAAGGGCCTGCCTAGAGATGTCCTCAAGAACCAACCCGGGATTAGCATGGATAACCCCCTTACCACTGCCATCTGTGGGAACTTCCATGTCGGGCACAGCTTTCTTTGTTCTGTTTGATTTGGGTGTCCAGGTTGCCATGGTGCTCAGTTGACCTTTGGGGCCGCTGAGGAGGGAAGGAGCTGGCCAGTACTTGACGGGTCCATCTGTGATTGGACTTCCCTGTGGGGGTGGGCATCCTCTTGGTGGTGGTCAGTGAAGAGGCCAGCCAGCCTCCACAAAGCGTTTGCAGTCCTGAAGTTTCTGCTGGTGGCCTTCTGGAGACAGTGGACTCTGTGTGCTGAAACTTGGGGCTAAGGACACAGGGAAAGAGGAAAGGACCCGCCCCTGCCCTAGGGATGCCATCAGGCCCAAGGGCAGTGGAAATACAAGCAGTAAATTAGAGAAACTTCTGAATGTTGGTCACAGATGCATTTCTCTTCCTATGTGGGGAATGCTGAGGCTGACAGGGGAGGCTGGCCCCTGAGACCACTGCCCTGCATAAGAAAGTATCCCTCTCAGCAGTGTAGGGAGCCACTAGGTTCCCCAAGGTGCCCAGGAGACCATGTGTGCTGAGAAACCAACTTGGAGTTTGTTGGGGACACACCACACAGGTGATCCAGCTCTTTGAATTGTATCTCCAGAATTCCCTTCTCTATTCTGAACTAGAGTCTAGATTATTCACTTGTACTATAATATTGCCCCTCCCCCACATTGTTAAACTTTGGAAACTATTAAAAAATTTAAAACACACAAAGGAAGGAAGGAAGGAAGGAAGGGAAAGAAAAGAAGGAAGGAAGAAAAAGAAAGAAAGAAAAGAAAGAAAGAAAGAAAGAGAAAGAAAGAAAGAAAGAAAGAAAGAAAGAAAGAGAGAGAGAGAGAGAGTATCCCTTCAGGAAGTCCTCCTAGAATGGGCCTCCTCCTTGCCCCAAAAGGCCCCCTGTTCTGTCAGGTCGGGGGCTGCCTCTTGGAGCTGGCCAGACCAATGAGGCAGGCTGTCTGAGCGAGACTCCTGGGAGCAAGCCAGGAAGCTGGACCATCAGACCCCATCAGGATCCCTGGCTTCGCCCATAGTACCTACATTTCATTTCACTGCACTCCAAACTTGAGCCCAGCACAGAAGTTGGAAACAAAGGGGAACCTAGGTCCATCCGAGAGGATGTGGCAAACTCCTGCTTTCTGCTTAACTGTTAGTGCTGAGTCCTGGCGCTGGGGTGCAGCTGAGGAAGACCCGACCTCCCCACAGGGATTCTGAGCCTGTTTACACACCACACGAAGTGGTGTGGGCTGATGGTCTGGGCCTGGAACCACCTGCCTCCTCCGAGAGGCTTCCTGAGATGGCCTGCTTTCAGAGAGAGGCTCTCGGTGCTTCCGGGTTCCTCCAAGTCTTCTCAGGGCCAGAAGGGGGATTGGCGTGGAGGATGGTGTTCTGCGTACAGATTGGCTGGGATTTCTCTGTGCAGCCACACCGATGAGTGCCCTTCCGAAAGTTTGTGTCCCCAGTACCCACTAAAGTACCCTGTTCTGGGCCAGAGAGATAGTACCATGAATAAGGCGCTTGTCTTGTAAGCAGCTGACCCAGGTTTGAATCCCTACACTGCGTATAGGGATGCCAGGAGTGATCCCTGAGCACAGAATCAGAAGTAAACCCTGAGTACGACAGGGCGTGACCCCCCCTAAATAGAAAATACCTTATTACCTTTAGTGGGGTCCAGAGCCAAGTCATGAATGACCAATGTTTGTGAGCAAAGTGTGTCACACCACTGGTCCCAGGTCACCCGTTAGTCCACAGAAACACACACCTTGGCCCCCAGGATGCCCCTCAGCTCTTCCCTCCTGGCGCGGGAGGTGGCGCACATGACAGACTCTGTAGGGCTGGAAGAGGATGCTAGAACCCTGGTGCTGGGTAGAAGCCCTGGTCTGGAGTGGGGGGAACTCGGCTCTGTTCTCCTGTCTCTACTTCTGAATGGCGCCGGGTCCTCACTCCGCGTCATCAATGGCTCTGGAAAGCCGTGACTTGAAGGGACCAAAGCTGGTCATGGCATTTGAGTTGGTGTCATCGGGATTGTCATTCTTCAGCTATTTCTCAGGAACTGGTGTTCAGGACCCTGTTCTGTCACACCAGCTCCCATGGCTGACTTCTGGGTTCAAATACTCAGGATTCAAGCTGGAAGTGACGGGTGTAGTCAGCCAGGTGGTGAATTGCTGGTTTCTGGGGGGGGGGGTGTTATGAGGTGCAGTGGGCATGCACTCCAGCTCTGGGCCAGAGGCAGAGGGGGTGGCCCCTGGTGGCCCCCTGAGCGGGTACAGTCTGGTTCCCCTGCTGGTTCCTGCACCAAATACTCGTGTAAATGCGCTGGGTCTGTGAGTGTGGGCATGTCTGAGTGTGGAGACTCCAGCACCCCTGAAGGCTGAGTGTGTGAGGGGTATGGCGGCCAAACGTCACTTCCCTGGACCCGCTGGGTGCTGCCTCCTCTCAGCGTCCATGCCAAAGGGCCACCTTGTAAGTGAGATTGTGTCCTGAGTTTCCCCTGGTGCTTGAGAAACTAAGTCATTCTGCCGGGGAACAGTCTGACCCACTTGCTTGCGATCCCACTTGGATTCGAGTCCAGACTCGACTCATGTCCAGCTTGACAGAAACTTCTTGGACTTCGTAAAGATAAGGACAGAATGTCACACTGGAATGCCCCGTGGTGCTCTCAGGAGTGGCAAGCTGTGAGAGAAAGGCACCCTGGGGGTACATGGGGAGATGTGAAGGTGGGACCCTCCACCCCAGCACAGTGCCCCGGTGTGGTCAGCCCAGAGTCCAGGTGACTCCTCACTGGCATTAGAGGAAAATCTAAAGCACTGTCCCTGGACAACCCCCCGAGGATGACGTGGATTTCTGATCAATTAGTGCTCATTGATGTCAGCGCTAGGGGCTCAAGGAAGTCCTTGGTGGCTGAGGCTTTGGCACTGGAAATCAAGACAATGTGGAATGGAATGAACAGGTGCAATCAGAGGCAAGAGAAGGGAGTGGGTTGGTGGAATCAGACTAAGGGGGGAGGGGGGAGGAGGGAGTGTGAGGAGGGAGGGAGAAGAGCAGCAGGGTGGGGAGAGGCGCTGCTGGCAAGCTTGGGACCCAGAGGCCAAGCCCGGTGTGCTCAGAGCTATAGGTGGCCTGGTGATAGGATGCAAGAAAATCACGTGACACATCCCTGGAACCTGGCACTGGAGTGGCACGACAAGGGGGACCCTCTAGAGTGGAGCAGGAAGGTGGGTGTGAGGGACATTTGGGCTGTTTTTTTGTTTTTGTTTTTTTTTTTGGTTTAACGAGTGATAGCACAGTGGTAGGGTATTTGCCTTGCACGCAGCCAGCCCGGCCGAGCCAGGTTCGATTCCTCCGCCCCTCTCGGAGAGCCCAGCAAGCTACCAACAGTATCTTGCCCACGTGGCAAAGCCTGGCAAGCTACCCGTGACGTATTCGATATGCCAAACACAGTAACAACAAGTCTCAAAATGGAGATATTACTGGGCCCACTCGAGAGAATCAATGAACAACGGGAGGACAGTGTTTTTTTTTGTTTGTTTGTTTTGCAGCCACACCCAGTGTTGCTCAGGGGTTACTCCTGACTCTACACTCAGAAATTACTCCTGCTGGCATTCAGGGGGACCATATGGGATACCAGGAATCGAACCAGGGTCAGCCATGTGCAAGGCCAGCACCCTCCCCGCTGTACTGTGGCTCTCGAGTGAGAGGTGTTTTGGAAAGGGAAAGACCCATCTTTCAGGAGGGCGAGGCAGAAGTGCAGCAGGTGAGGCCAGGTGCAACTCCCAGAGGCTGGTTGTCTGCATCGCTGTGGAGGTGCAGGGCAGGAAAGGACACAAGAGGACCGAGAGGAGGCCAGCGGAGAGTCAGGCCCACGCAGAAGACCAGAGCCCCGGTGGAGAGGGGTTTGATCGGAGAAGTTCCAGGCCTGGTGTAAGACAGAGGAAACGTGAGGGTTTCTTAGTAGGTGTAAAGGCAGAGAGGACAGCAGAACACGAGATCTCAGGGAAATGCCCAGGGCCAGGCCTCCAAGAGCCCTGCAGAGTCAAGAGCAGCCCTGTCTGGGCACAGGGAAGGCTCTGGGGCTTGGGGCGAGGACAGCTGCTGGCTCAGGAGAAGACGATCCGAGGAGCAGAGAGGAGTCAGAGGGTTGGGCTGAGGCTGGCCTGGGGACAGGAACATCCTGGAACGCCCAGGCTGCCCCTGCCCGTGAGAGCCAAAAATGCGTCACATCCTGAGGCATGAGCTGACCGTTGAGCTGTGCACTGGGCCTGGACTCCTAGGAGGCAAGTGGAGTTTCGGAGGGGGGGGGTGGCGCCCCACACATCAAGCAGCTAGTGAGTAAACCAAGGGGAAGCTCCCCAGGGCACCGGTGCTGAGAGACGTGAGCCCAGTTTCTCCCGCGTGTGTGTCAGGCTCTGCTGCAGGCCAGAAGGAGGGTAGGAGGACAGGGTAGAGAGCAGAGCACTGAGTAGGCAGCCTGCCGGCTCTGCAACCTGAGTCAGTCACTTAGCCTCTCCATGCCTCAGTTTCCTCATCTGTAAAAATGGGACAGTAATAAGAGCCCTCACCTCCTGAGGCCATTGTGAAGATTAGATTAGATCCTGGGGGCCAGGGACATAGTTCAAAGGCTGGGACATAGACCTTGCGTGCTGGTCCCCAAATTCAATCCCTGGTTCCTCTGTGGCATTTAACCATTATTAGGCTAGCTCTGCTAGCCAAGTGTCACCCAGAGTGGTCCCCGTGTTGTCCCCAAGCACCGCTGATGCAGTTCCCTCGGCCTCTTGCCTTCCTCATCCCCAAACGATGTGAGGCAAAGTACTTAGAGAAGGGGGAGCTCACGGAAGGTGCTGGCGTCCTATAGTCCTGATACAGCAAGTGGTCCCAAGGGCTGTGATGGATTGGGAGAGCAACTCTTACTGGCCTGGTTCCCCAGATGGTCGGGGCCTGTCTGGGGAGGTGGCATCACCTGGGCAGGAGCAGCAGCTTCAGAGACCCTGGGCCAGGGGGAGGGCAGTGGTGGACAGGCGGGGGGTGGGAGAGGTCTGCCCATGCCCAAACCTCCCCCTCGAGGCCCAACAGCCTTGGTTTCCATGGCAATAGCTGGGGGAACAGAGGGTGTTTCCGGACACTGTGAGAAGCATTGACGGGTTTGAGCGGGGAAGGGAGTGCACCCTGAGGGAGTGGGCAGAGGCCAGCGGGAGCAGGAGTGGACGCTGGCCAGGGCTTCCCCCCGTCATGCAAATGGGTGTCGCTGTTCTTGTGGGACTTTCTGACAGTCTCCGCCAGTCATCGAGACCCTCCTGGGTGCAAGGTCTTGGCTGAGTGCTGGAAGGTACTGAGAGCAGTCTTCCCACCCAGGAAAGTCAAAGGGTGGCACAGCTCGCCCCTACCCCATAAACAGTGAGAACGAAGGCCCGGGGCCCCATGAGGAGAGGCCCCTGTGCCCACCTGACCCCGTGGACTCTGCATCTCCCAGTGGTCCCGCTGTCCCAGGGCCCACGTGCTGGCTCCAGCATGACTCTGGATCTTTCCTCGGATCCTTCCTCACCAGAGCCTTGGTTTCCATGGCAGCTGATTCAGGGGGCGTCGCTTTTGTTCTCTGATCCATAGAAAGCGAAAGGGCAAGTGGGCCTCTGCCTGCCCCACACCCTTCTTGAGTGTTGCCCGAGCCTCGGCTCGTCCTGTGACATCAGCCCTGGAGCTCCGGGCACTCCGGCCCCCCCCGCACACCTTCAGACCAAGTGTCCGTCCGATTGGCTAGGTTTCCCCCACTCCAGGCAGAGGTGACTGATGGGAAGGTGAGGTGTCACCTGCCGCCCGGGAATCTCTGTGAGTGGAGGTGGTACGGGAAAGACGCTTAAAGGCACAGTGGCCAGTACAGGGACATAGCCCCACTGCAGGGACAAGAGGAAGCGATGGGCATCGGGGGCCGGACTCTGCAGGAGCCTGCTGGGCTCGGGCCATGCTGGGTTCTGTGCCCCCATCCCCCATTTACACCCGCCCATACGGCTCCCGTTTCCCTCACCTGGGCTCTTTGCGGGGAATCAAGTCCTTGACCAGCCTCTGACTCTTCCTCAGCCCCCTCCAGGCTGCAGCCTCTGGTCGGCACCGACACCACGCCTGGTGCTCCAGGATCTGTTCCACCTCCTGCTGCTTATTCTGCTCGCTGGACCCTTCCCTCTGCCTCTTTTCTCACCTCTGACGACTCCTCTTTTATTTTCTGAGTTCTGGCGGCGGGGTAATAAGGCCCGCGGGCTGCTGGGCATCAGCAGGACCGTGGTCATGCCTGGGCCTCTCCTCACCTCCCTCTCCTCCACCTCCTCCTCTTGCTCACTCCTGTGCTTCCGCCGCCCCTTCCCCAGCTTACACCAACAACCAGACCGACATCGCCACCCAGGGCTGGTTCATCGGGCTCATGTGCGCCATTGCACTTCTGGTCCTGATCCTGCTCATCGTCTGCTTTATCAAGAGGAGTCGAGGGGGCAAGTATCCAGGTAAGTGGTGGGGGGACAGGCAACGGGGACAGGTACCTTGGTCCCCTTCCGCATCCAGAGTCTCTGGCTGTGGGCCCCGCCCTGGTCTCTGGGTCATATGGTGCTCAGGCCTGTTTCGTGCCTCGTCCAGCCACCAGCCAGCACTTGGCGTCACTCACATTCACTGCCGTGGATGCAGAGGGGTGGTGGGGAGATCTCGGCTTCTGCCATAAATGGTCTCCGTCCCTTGACTCACCCATCTGCTCCGTCAGCCGCTGCTTTCAACCCAGGTCCCCATAGGATCCTGTTCCAGAGTGCAGGCAGGATGAGAAGCTTCTCTCTAACCCGCTGCCTTGGGGAAGGGACTGCAGGGGGTGTCTCGGAGAGACTCACAAGCCCCTCCACGGGGCACAGAACAGCCAGAGGCGCGTGTGCTTCGAGAAGTGGACTGTTAGTTCTCAGGGGCTCCCCCACGTCAAGGGCAGGGTTTCTCAACAGGGGACCCTGTGGACCCTCAGGACCACGTAAGGGGCCAAATGGAAAACCGTGGAAATGGGGGTGGGGAGGCATAGGAAGGCCAGAAGGGGCCATGGTCAGTAAAAGGCTGAGAAACGTTGCTCACAACCTCAAGGCCCTCCAGCCCAGACAAACCAAGGTCAAGGTCAGGACCCTGATGCTCTTGTTTCTGAAAATATTGATTGTTTCCAAGCAGGGACAAGAAAGCCATCTGTCTGTGGCTGCGGGCGGGGGAGAGTGGAGGGTGACAGGAGACAGGATGAAGGATGGCCTAAGAGTGAACCCCGGGCAGGGCTGCAAATGAAATTGCTTCCTGTGACCCATCCCCCCAGAGCTCCGTGACCAAACACTCCCCCAATACTGCCGGTCCCCATCTCTGCAGACAAGGCCTCTGTCAGGTGTCCCTGGAGCCCAGCTCAGAAGCAGGGAGATGCTGTCAGGCCCTCAGGCCCCAGAGCGGATACTTACCCTCTGAGTGAGGGGGTGACACCCAGGCGGGCCAGGGAGTTCTGGGTGTGTGGTGTAAGCGTTCGTCCCCTCCTACCTACTGTGGGACTGAATGTGTCTTCTCTGTGAGAGCAGGCTGAGTGTGGGGAGGTGACCTTCAGTGGGTTCACTGAGTCCCCTCCTCCCAACTCCAGGTGCCCCCAAACACCTGAAAAAAAATCAGAAAAAAAGCCAAACCTTACCCCAAACCTTCCTTTGGCAGAAGTGGGGTGCCTTTAACACCTTTCTTGAGGCTTCTTTTAGTCTAACTTTTTTTCCCTCTAGCTAGAGTTAAGCCCTTGAGGCTTGAATTTACGCCAGCCGCCAGCCGGGTAGTAGCATTGTCCTCCCACTGTTCATCAATTTGCTCAAGTGGGCACCGGTAACATCTCCATTGTGAGACTTGTTACTGTTTTTGGCATATTGAATACGTCACAGGGAGCTTGCCAGGCTCTGCTGTGCGGATGGGATACTCTTGGTAGTTTGCTGGGCTCTCCAAGAGGGGCGGAGGAATCGAACCCAGGTCGGCCGCGTGCAAGGCAAATGCCCTACCCGCTGTACTATTGCTCCAGCCCTCTACTGCCACCTTACTGCCACCTGGGTAGTAAGGTGACTTATTCCTTAGCCTCTCAGTCTTCCTCGCCTCAAATGGGGGTGACTATCCAGCCTTGTACATCGAGTCCTCCCACAAGTCGCTGTCCTGTGTCAGGCTCTGTGCTGAGCACGAAGGAGCCTGGGTGGGAAAATCCATCTTGCCCTCAAGGACAGGTCGGCTGGCGCAGATGGAAGGTTCCTGCCCTGGTGTTTGTGGATGGTGGGAGGCATCAGGGCAGAGTCCTGCACTGCACACAGTGAGACCACAGAGGTAGGGTTGGAGGGCCCCTTGGCCAGGAGCTTTGGGGAAACAGTGCCCCACCTTTAAGGAAAGAACAAGTTTTCTGTGATGGGCCCGAGAAAAAAGGCACAAAACCTGTCCTAGAGACAGTCCCGGGGGAGGCTCTGTCTGGGGTTCTGACAGCCCTTACGGAGAGAAGGTGGGAGTGGGGTGAGGTGCTCCTGTGATCTCTGGAGGCGTGAGGAAGAACAGGATCTGGGAAGCTGGAAAAAGCGAGAGGCGAGAGCGAGGAGGCCCCAGGTGCCATCCCTGGACAGCATCTCTACTCAGCAGCTAGGGACCCACTCACTCACCATGTCCATGTCTTTGCTTCTCTATCCACCAAGTGCGAGAAAAGAAGGATGTTCCCCTGGGCCCTGAAGACGCCAAAGAAGAGGACGGCTCCTTCGACTACAGGTGCGTGAGGGCCGAGGCGCCTGCTCACATAGCGCCCCCTCCTGGCAGGCAGTTCCTACTGCACCCTTGCCACCCCCATCCCCTGGGCTTTTACCTCTGTCCCTTAGGGCCTGCTCCTCCTGACTGTGCCCAGCAGAAGTATCCTTACCTCTGGGGAACTTCGCTGGTCACACAGCAGACAGCATTCCGCTCATTGGACACATGTCAGGTTTGTTTCTACCGTGGCTCCCTTTTCTGTGAAAGGAGCTGTTTAAAGTGCCACCCTGCTCACGTACCACCCTCCCCTGAATCTAGGGGCTGGGGAGTTCAAGAGGCTCAAAGGGCACTTATCAGTGCTAGGCCATGGGCTCAGGAGCCTGAACAAGCCCACCGGGCTCCCCGCTAGGCTGGGATGGACGTTGGCATCTGGCTCAGGGCTATGGCTCAAAGTGCGGGAGCCCTGCCCATGATCCCGAACTCGGACTCACCCAGGATGCTGGTGCTGAGCTCGGGCAGCCCAGGCAGCTGCTTCTTCCGTCTTGCTCTCCATTGCACCTCCCTCCCCACAGCCTGGGACAGGACTAGATCTGTCTGCTTGATGATGGGCACATTCTGAGTCAAGGTACGATGATGCGGAGTGGGTCACAGAAGCAGCGTGGGCAGGAAGCCCCCACTCCTACCCAGTACTCCTGAAGCAGTGTCATTCTGAGGTCATTCTAGCCTCTTCTGAATTCTGGATCCTGCCCCGGGCCTCTGCTATCTGCCCATCAGTAGCCTGGCAGGCAGGCTCAGATCAACGGGCAACTGAGCTGCTGCCCACAGAAGGGTCTGCCTGGTGGCTAATGGACCTCGTCCCCCATCCAGTCCCCCAGCCCTGCGAGCCCCTGAGAGCAAGCAGGAGCCCCTGTCCTTCCCTTCCCTGGCTGTCAGCACTTCTGCTGGGCGCAGCTTCCCCAGGCTGAGAGCTGATCTCTGGCTTCAGTCCCAAAGCCTCAGGCTTTGGATCCCCTAGACCCTTAATGCAGCACATGAGAGGGGCAGAGACTCCTCAAATATGGGCCAGGAGCGTATACTTTACCCTAGACACCAGAATTGCAGCTCCCTCCCTCAACCCTGCCTTAAGACATGAAGTTAAATATACCTGTACCAGCTGCATGATGAACACACCGCACTCACATGCACACACATATGCACACACACATGTACACACACATGCCCACAAATGCATATGCACACACTACATGCATACACGCATGTTTAGACATGCACGCACACGTAAACACACAACATACACTCTACCCCACAGCTCTGCTAGACTCCGGGGATGGGATGAGGGTCAGTATCCTTCCATCCTAGAGCCCCACTTGAGTAACTGAGGGAAGGTGTGAAATGCATATACCAGAGGAGAGTTCCTAGAGGGAAGAAAAGAGTGTAGCCCCCTTCAGTAGTGCCAGGCCACCCCCCTGATGAGGCTTTCCCTGCCTTGCTTCCTCTTCTGTTCCCTGTTCCTGGAGGGCTTCTAGGTGCACACTGGGATTGGGAGCAAGCCCCCAGTCTACTTGCTCTCAAGCATCTTTTCACAGCAAGCCAGCAGCCCCTTTGTGTGAACTAGCTCGACCCCTGCCTGGCTTTCCCCCAAAGATATCCTGTGCTGTGTTTCCTTGTACCTCTGGGGTATGAAATTCTGAGATTCAGTGGGCACAGCCCTTGGGGTCCTGCAGGGGTGCTGTGAGAAAGGTTTGCAGGAGGGGTAACGGGACAGAATGACCAGAGTGACAGAAGGGGTGATAGGTCTGAGAGAGAAAGACAGGAGGGGTGACGGGTATGAGAAACACTGACACGAGGGGTATTGGGTATGAGAGAGATTGGAAGGAAGAATGATGGGCATGAGAGACTGACAGGAGAAGTAACGGGTGAGACACACTGACGGGAGGGGTGACAGGAATCTGAGAGTGACAGGAGGAATGACAGGGGTAGAAGAGAGACTGACAGGAGGGGTGTCAGGGACATGAGACAGACTGACAGGAGGGGAGATGGGTGCTGTGAGAGAGACTGACAGGTGGAATGGCAGGGGTATGAGAGACAGGAGGGGTGACAGTGGTGAAGGGGTGATAGAGGTGTGAGAGAGACTGACAGGAGGGGTGTCCGGGGTACGGGAGATACTGACAGCAGGTGACAGGGGAACATGTGAGGCAGACTGACGGGGTTTTAATGGAATGCTGTGAGTGAGGTGGCAGGAGGGGTGACAGTGCATGTGTGAGAGACTGGCAGGGCCAACACAGCCCTACCTGCGAGACCTGACTCCCACCGCTGGTCCCACTGCTGTGGCCCCGGAACTCATCTCCCTTCAGACGTGCACCCAGAGCGCCCTCCACACCCATACAGCTTTCCCAGAGACACACCCACACACAACACACAACATGCCCACACACCCACAGACACCCACACACATATATCCCAAACACTGTATACCCCCATACAAATAGATATCCAGAAATATACCCATACACACATACAACATGCCCACACACCCACAAACATGTCCACACACACATATACGTACAAACATGCTCACACAGACACATATCCACAAACATGACCACATATCTGCACTCATATCTAGCCATACACACAAAATACAACAAGCCCACACAAACACAACCACATATCCACACACACACACTACCTCACCCACATCCACACATACACATGTCCTCCCACACATACCCTCGCACCCCTGTCTACAAAATCCCATAACACCCCTCCATATCCACACACCTACGTATCCTCACCCCCCACACACCAACACACATCTATACACACCCACAACATATCCTTACACCTCCTGTGTATCACATACATACATATCCACATATCCACACCCTGCACACCTCCACCCACATACCCCCACACATAGACCCCCATATCCACTCACCCATGCACCCACAGATACCCCCCACACACCTTCTGGGCTACACACCCACAAATACATACACTTCCTGTGCTCAAGTCCAGGAGTAAGTACCAGAGCCAGGAGATGTAAGAGGAGCCTGAGCAGACCGCAGCCCACCCATTCAGGGGTCCCACTTCTGAGGGGCACAGCAGGCAACATTGTTGCAGCTCCACTGTCACTCCCTGGTCCTTTCCAAACCAAAGGTACTGAGCCCTCTGGTCCTTGACTTGCCCACGGGCCACCCGCCTCACCCTGTCCCACTTGTCTCTGTGTGCAGAAAACCAGACAGTGAGAGAAAGAGCACCACAGTGCAACGGGATGGGGGTGGGGGACTGGGGGTCTTTTCCAGGCCCAGATCTCACTCTCGGCGCCAGTTCACACTCTCAATGGGTCCCAGTGAGGAGGGAGGGCTGAACCAAGGCCGCGAGCCCGGAGGCCTGCCTTCCCATCATGCTCTTCCTTTCTTGCCTGCTCACACCCCAGCCTTGTGGCATCACCCCAGAGCAGGAGTCTCAACTCCACACCAATCTGCCTCCTTCCCTTGGAAAATGCTTTTTGTTTTGGTTTGGTTTGACCCACCCAACAGTAGCAGTGCTCAGAGCTTGCTCAGGGTTCACTCCTGGTGAAGCTCAGTGGACCATCTCAGGTGCCGAAGATCGAACCCGGGTCAGTGCATGCCTGGCAATTGCCCTACCCCCTGCTGCCTCTCCAGCCCTCTCGGTCTCACGTTCCCCTCTGCGGAGTCGCCTGCACAGGGAGGGGAGGTGGGTGCTGACCTTGCCGTCCTCTCTGAGTACCGCCTGGCAGGATGGTGCCATCCCACACTGCCCCGGGCAGGCCGGCCGGTGGGTCCTGACCTCTGACTCTCCCACAGTGATGAGGACAACAAGCCCCTGCAGGGCAGCCAGACGTCCCTGGATGGCACCATCAAGCAGCAGGAGAGTGACGACAGCCTGGTGGATTATGGCGAGGGTGGCGAGGGCCAGTTCAACGAGGATGGCTCCTTCATCGGCCAGTACACGGTGAAGAAGGACAAGGAGGAGACAGAGGGCAATGAGAGCTCGGAGGCCACGTCCCCTGTCAACGCCATCTACTCTCTGGCCTGACGGAGCCACCCGGCACAGCCACTGCTCTGCAAACAGGGCAGGGGAGAGGGGAGACGAAGCCGCCACAGACCTGCTGCCAAACCACTCCAGGGCCATACAACGTGGGGGCGCTGCCACCTGCCACCCAGCTCTCCACCAGCCCCCTCCCGGTGACCCACCCAGGTGCCCCCGTCCGGGGGTAGCTGGTGCCAGGGCTGACTCGCAGGAGGAGTGGGTGCTTTGCTCAGCCCCTCCGCCCTGGGCCCCAGCACACACGTGCCGTCTCTGTGGGCTTGGGTCCTTCTCATTGTCCTGATTCTTGCTTTGTGCACCTCCAGACCCAACCTGGCCAGTTTCTTTTCTCTCCGAAGAAGTGACCCTGGACCCAGAAAGGATCACTGGGCTTCTCCCCTTGGAGACTGCACATGCAGCAGACTGGCCAGCTCCGTTGACAGAGCAGAGAAGCTGTAGTATTCAAGCCGCCACGCCACTGGCCAATGCCTTTCTCAAGGACGCCTTCTCGCCATACGCCTCCCCCGCCCGCCCGGGCCTTGGCAGCTGCTGAGCTGGGCTTGGCTCCTTCCCAGACAATGACAGTATTTTTGGCAGGGAGCGGGCGGCAGACCTCCTGGCCTCGCTCTGGTTCAGCAGGGTGGTGGCGGCCCTCCTGCCTCTGGTCCCCACCTGCCCTTCCTCCCACGTCCCGATGAGCTGAGGGGCGTGTGGGGGAAGTGGGTGCAGAGGGGAGGGAAGGCCGCCCCGAGGGCCATGCACCCCGGGCAGAAGGAAATCAGGCCTCATCCCTGGGATGTTCCCAAGTGAAGGAAAACGCTGGGTTTGGACTCCCCCGTCACCCCCAGGAGGCAGGGGAAGAGGGCCACTGCACTGTGCACCCCAACTCTGGGGGACATGTTGCTCCCCACCAGGAGACTGGATGGGGACGCTTGTGATGGAAAAGCTCGGCTGGTGAGCTTTGAAGGGGGCAAAGCAGTACTCCCCTCCCGCTTCTCTAGCCGAGAGCCTCTCAGTTCAGTCTCCGGGACGGTACTATGGACTGTGGGATGTCGACGGGGCTTCCATGCCCGGAATCTGCACAGCCCTGACAGTATGTCACAGTGCTGCAAGCCGGCCTGGGGAGGGGAGGGTGTGCGTGTTCCTGTTTGCCTTATGCAGTTCCCCTTCATGGCTCCCTTCCCCCACCCCGCCTCATTCTCAGCCTCCCCCGCCCCCCATCCTCAACGCCTCCCATCGCCGCTCTCCGGGAGCACCGGTGTCCTGAGCAGCGTCAACCCCCCCCCCCCCCCCACACACACACACACACATGCCCTGCCACCGTGGCCCGGATGGAGATGGTCGCAGTTCAGGAGATGGAGGGCGCCGCCTTTCTCCGTCCCACCTAATCGATTTTCCAAACCAAAGGTACTGAGCCTCCCAGAGCCAGCGCTCGAGCCTCACGGCAGTCCTTCTTCTGCCGTTGCTGCAGCGCTCAGTTTCGGGAGAGCCGCTGATCCCCCGGAACCGACCACCGGGCCCTCTGCTTTGAGCGTTCAGCTGCTTGCTGGGGACCCGGGCAGGAACAGGGCCATGTCTTTCAGAGGCTCTTATTAAGCATCATTTGCCACATGTACAAGCCGCAAAGGTATTAGCAACGCTTTCTCCGCCTGGGAAGCAGCGGGCTGGTGGTCAGGCCGTGGTGTGTGTGTGCCCTCCGTCTGCACGTCGGAGGCCCGAGCCCACGTCCTGGGGAGCCACAGCTGGGACCCAGGCACCACCCTGTGGCTCTGCTGTTCCACGGTTCTCAAAAAGAAACGGGGCAGGTAAAGAGCAGGGCTGGAGACCAACCGAGGACTCTCTTCCATCCCCTGCTGGGGACCAGACCTGCACGGGCAGGAATGCCAGGCGTGTGTCCACCTCTGTGGAGCCTCTGAGAGTGGCCAGTTTCCCAGCCCCGCTTCCGTGTACACTGTGTCTGCTAGTGAACTCATCACCCCAGGCCTCAGCTCCACGGCAGGAGGGATGGAGATGTCATTGTCCTCGTCTCCCTCTGTCCCTCTGGACACAGCTCACTTGCAGCAATGGCCGGGACATACTTCTGTCCCTGTGTCTCGGTGCGGAGGCTCGGGGGCGGGGGGGGGGGAGACTCAGCTTTTCCGGGTTTTGTTCTATCTCCCTCATGGGTGCGGGGTGCTACAGGGTCCCCTCCAGGGCTGTCCTGGTGGTGGGGGGGGCTTCACCTCTCACCCACTCCAGCCCTTCGTTGGGGGGGCCTCCTTCAGACCTGGGCCTGAGTTTCCCCAAGAAAAAGGGTCAGGTTCAGGGGGTGCCAGGGTGAGGTGGCAGCTGGGGAGAGGCCAGTCTCTGTGCCAGGGTGCCCATGCCAGCAAGCACCCAACTCAGCTGAAAGCAGTATTGCCCAGTGCTCCCTGCCATCTGTCCTCTCACGCCACCACCCCACCACCAGTGCCAGGAGGGGTCAAAAACATGGGTGCCGCTACACCCCTGCCCGCACACCCTTTCACCAGGCGGGTGCCCTGTACAGCTGAGCTGCCGGCGCCCCCAGGCTCATCTCTATGGCCGGGAAGGCAGGGTGCCCTGTTCTCCTGGGGCGCAGACCTAGAGTGGTCCTGGGGCACACAGTGGCACTGACCAGGCCCCCCAGGTTGGCAGGCCATCTCGTCTGGATTTGGGGTGAGGGGTTGCAACCTCTCTGCTCCACCCCCGCTGTGCTTTCAGGGGTCTCTCCCCAGTCTCCCCTCACTTTCCTCCTTGAATTCTCCCTCCCCAGGAAGCATCCAGGCCACCCCGCTCCAGCAGAGTCAGAGCACAGGTCGAGGGGACAGAGTCCCCACCTTGCTGGGGTACAGTGTGAGGAACCCCTTTCCCTTCCCTGCTTTCATGTGGCTGCGTTGAGACCCAGACTCGCTCCTGGCTTACACTGCTGTCATCCAAGAGGCGAGCAGCATCTGACAGCCCCTCCTGGGGACAGGTTCAGGTGTCCGAGGGTCCGCTGATCACGATGAGCCCCGCTACCAGGAGAACCCGCAGCCTTGGCCCAGAGGCAGTTGTTTTCCTGAATGGCCACTTGAGGATGGCCGTGGAAACAACCAAGGGGACCAGTGGGCTGTCACTAAGGGTCTCATCCCTGCACACACAGCAGACCCACCCTGCTGCAGGATGGCCCATTCCGGAACAGCCTGGTGGGGACATCGGCCGGAGAGGGAAAGCCAGGCTGAGGCACACCTGAGGTGGTCTGGGAGGGCCAGCCGGATACTCAGGTATGATTCCTGTGGGCAGAACAGAAAGCAAGGCTGGTGGAGGAGGGTGGTGCAGGTGGCGAGGCCGTGGGGCAGAACCAGAAAATTCTAGCACAACATAGAGCCCTTGGGCAGAGAGGGGCTGCCCTACTTTGCCGAGGGGGTGTGAGGACACCCAGTCGAGAAATGGGGGTCCTCAGACCCTGGCGGTGGTTTCTCAGTCATGTCAGTTGGGGTCAGCAGGGTCTGTGATGCAGGCCCAAGGGCACCCCTGCTGGTGGATTGTGCTTGCAGCTCACAGGTGTACTGAGTTAGTCTTGCCCACCATGAACCCCTGCTCCCCCCCAGGATCAGGACTTCTGTTCTGCTTGGTGGCTCGGGTCTAAAAGGGAGGAGGACCTGGTGGAATTTGTTCTGACCTTAGAAGAGTGAAACCAAGACGATAACTTAGAGTGTGGTAAAGAGGAGACCTCGTGCCGGCAGACCAGCACCCCCTAAGCCAGACGGGAGCACTCTGAAACTCTGCCCTACACTGTTTTCCGCTGCCTGGCCCACAACCATGGTAGTGTCCTGTCCTCGGTCCACTGAGGTCTAGACTCCACCCACGGGGCCCAGCCACACGCAATAGTATTGATGGGGTGCTCCGTGTGGCGGGAGGACTCAGCTTAGGACAGGCTCCCTCTGCGTGTGCGTGAGTGAGCCTCCCTTGGCCCTGCACAGAGAGGAGTGAAGCGCAAGGACTCTGTGCAGGGAGGGCTAGAGTTGGCCGCCCCTGGGGTGAGCACAGTCCCTCCCGACCCTCAGACCTCCTTACCACCCCGTGCCCCATCTCTGTGTCGCCCAAACGGGAGATGCAGGCAGGTGCCTGAAGACGCAGGGGACAGGGAGAGGAGAGAGTCATGCTGGTGGGCAGGACTGACTGTGAAGCAGAGGGTTCCTCCGAAGTGAGGGTGCGGGGCCTCCCAGGCCCCCGGAACTGCGGGGCTGGACGTCAGTCCATGTGAAGACCTCAGTGAAGCAATAAATGCAAACTCTGGATGAAGAAGTCCAGAATTCGTGTGCACTACCGTTTCTTTGTCCAAACGATGCAGCCCCAGCGCCGGCCCTGATGATTCCCAAATGTGATGTCTCAGTGTTGTCCCACCCCCGGCTCCCTGCTCTTTGCCAACTTCAGGCTCCTGCTCTGAGCTCCAGTCACCCGGGACGTAGATGCCTTGTGTATGGTCCTGCCCCAGGGCTGGTCCGAACCCCCGGGCCCGGCCCTGCCCCATCCACCGCCTCCCTTTCCTCCACACTCCTTGGGGTGGAGGGGAGGTTCTCCCAGTGTCGCCATCCCTCCACAGACCACACATCGATCACCTCTTTTCTCTCCGTTGGCTAAATACTTAACCCTCCTTGGCAGACTTGTTCTAACCCCCTCACACCGTCTTCTTTCCTCCTCCCAAGTTATTTTGCATTAACCGATGTCAGCGACAGTTGTGTGTCCAAGGGTGTCAACATGCAGCCTTCCGCAGAGCAGGCTGCTGGGCCATGGAGGACCGTCTGATACATGGACGTATAAACTGACTGCATGAGCAATGAAAAGGCCAAATTATTCTGATTTTTTTTTGAATCACTGTAAAAAGAAAAAACTGATTTCTTTTGTATAGAGAACACTAAACGTATAATAAAAGTTGTTGAAAATGCACTCGGAAAGGGTGATCTGTTCAGTTCCTGTAATTGGTGGGCGGGAGGGGGCTAGCAGGGGGCTAATGGTGAGGAGGTGCCAAGGGACCTCCCTGGGTGCTGCACAGACCGTCTCGTGGGCATCTGTGCTTTCACACCCCAGCTTGAAGTCAATCTTACCATGGAAAGCTTG